AGAAGGTCGTCAGCCATCGTATGCCCAACTTTATATCTATGATCCTGATGAAGCCACTGACATCCGTGCCAACCGACCTGGAAATGAAGGTCTTGATCGTCGCATTCTCAGAGCACTCCATGACATGCTATATTGAAGCCATCCCTATGCTCCTCTTTATAAACAGGCCTATCAAGTCATGCGAGAGAAGCCTCCAGAGCAGCACACAGATGTTCGTGTACACATTCACTTCCAGGAGGGCTCAGATGGTCGAAGATATAATCTTCCCACTGCCGATGAAATTGCTGTGATTATTCCTGGAGATGGATCTGAAGAGGTGTCTGACAAACGCGATATCGTCTTGCGACTTCAAGGAGGTCAACTTCAGCACATGAGCCAGCTTAGCCATGCATATGCAACTCTTCACTACGTCCTTCTCTTTCCTTCTGGCGAGGAGGGCTGGCATTCTGATATCCCTCTCAATGTTAGAGAGGGTGAACCTGCCACACGCTCAAAACAAGTCACCCAGCTGCTGTATTATGCCTATCGCCTTCATCCTCGCCCCATTCACATGGACCACAACAACATTTTTCGTGGTGGAAGACTTTTCCAGCAGTATGTGGTTGATGCATGGGCATCCATTGAGCAGAGTAAGTTGAACTGGGTTCAGAACAACCAAAAGCGGCTCCGGGCAGACTGTTACCGGGGTTTGACAGACAATGTGCTCAATGATGGTGTGGATGATTTGGCTCAGACAGGTCGCTCCATCATTCTTCCCTCCTCTCATACTGGGAGCCCTCAGTACATGCATCAGCTACTTCAAGACTCTTTGGCCATTTGCTGTGCCTGCAAAAAGCCTGATCTCTTCCTGACGATGACTGCAAATGGGAGTTGGCCTGAGATTACTGAGAATCTCCTGCCAGGTAAGAATTCATATTCAATGCATTATTTATAACTTCATTGCTGACAATCACTTATACAGGCCAAAGTGCTGTGGACCGTCCAGACTTGGTGGCTCGAGTATTCTATCAGAAACAACAGGCCCTCTTGAAGAAGGTTCGCAAAGGCTACTATGGAAAGGTTGCAGGATTGGTGTACACCATCAAATATCAGAAATGTGGTCTGCCTCACATGCATCTCCTCATCTTCCTGGATCCAAACGACAAGATATGCACAGTGGAACAGATCGATTCATTCATCTCTGCCCAGATTCCTGATAGAAACATTCACCCCCAACTCTATGAGGCCATGGAAAAATACATGCTTCATGGCCCTTGCACTCCACAGCATTGCTTGGAGAATGGATGGTGCAAAAAACATTTTCCAAAGTCATTCTGTCCCCAGACGTCCATGAAGGAAGACGGCTATCCAGAATATGCAAGACCTGATAATGGCCGCACCATCCAGAAGAATAACAATGTCTTCACCAACAAAGATGTTGTTCCTCACCCCCCACAACTGCTGGTGGAATTCAACTGCCACATCAACCTGGAAGTCTGCGCTTCTATCAAGTCTGTCAAATATATCCACAAGTACATCTACAAAGGAAACGACCGCGCCACTTTGGAGATGAGAGGAGCGGTGGACGAGGTCAAATCCTATCTTGACTCCAGATATATCAGCTCGAATGAGGCTGCATGGCGCATCTTTGAATTTTCCATGCATTATGAATGGCCCTCCGTCTACCGCTTGCCAGTTCATCTCCCAAATGAACAAATGGTGGTCTATGACCCTGCAGAAGATGCCCAGAACGTTCTTGAGCGTGCAGCAGCCAGGGAGACTTGCCTCACTGGATGGTTCAAAGCCAATGCCAATGCCGACTTGGTGGCAGCTGGAGCCCATGACCACCTATACCAAGACTTTCCCTCAAAATTCGTGTGGACCAAGAATGCCTGGAAGACACGCCAGTATGGAGCAGCAATTGGAAGAATGTATGCTGCTGCACCTGGCTCTGCAGAGCGCTTCTATCTGAGATTGCTTTTGACTGTGACAAAAGGTATGATGTCTGGAACAATTTCTATCAATCAAACTTACCGTGTTTTGTTTTTCAAAGGGGCTACCTCCTATGAACACCTTCGTACTGTCGATGGTGTTCTCTGCCAGACTTTCAAGGATGCATGTCAGTGAAGGGGTCTGCTTGATGATGATAATGAATGGATCCAGTGCTTGCAGGATGCCTCTCATATGCGCACTGGATATGGTCTGCATAATCTCTTTGCCATCATCCTCCTCCACTGCAACCCTACAAGCCCTCAAGAGCTTTGGAACCACTTCAAGGACAATCTCTGTGATGATCTGCGCCCCCGTCTCACTCGCAATCCATATAACATGCCCAACCCTACTGAACACAACATTCATGACTACAGTCTCTATCTCATTGATAATGTGCTTTGCAAAAATGGAAAGTCTTTGGAAGCCATTCCTCACATGCCAGTACCTCAAATGGCAGCAAGATGGGGGGCCATTGAGGGCAACCAGCTGATTGCTGAGCAACTCCAGTATGACCCGGAGGATCTTCAGGCGATAGTGGATAGAGGAGTTCCTTCTCTCAATGAAGAGCAGAGGGCGGTCTTTGATGCAGTGGTTGATGATGCAATGCATCGTAATGACCAAAGACCTGGACATACATACTTCATCCATAGTGCAGGTGGATGTGGCAAGACATATCTCTGCAAACTCATCGCTTCAAAAATCTGTGCTGAAGGCAAGATCGTCCTATGTGTGGCTTCCTCTGGAATCGCTTCTCTCCTCCTGCCAGGCGGACGTACAGCTCATTCGCGATTCAAGATCCCCATTCCCATTCATGAGGATAGCTCATGTAACATCAATAAAGGAGATGTTGTCCATGAGCTTCTCAAGGCCACCTGTCTAATCATCTGCGACGAAATTCCTATGCTACACCGTCACAACCTGGAATGCCTTGATTGCACGTTGCGCGATCTTCTGAACGTCGATGCTGACTTTGGAGGAATAACCATGCTCTTTGGAGGAGACTTCAGACAGACACTGCCAGTGGTGCCTCATGGATCCAGGGAGCAGATAGTGGGTGCTACCTTTTGCAGATCTCGCCTCTGGCCCAAGGTTCATATCTTCCACCTCAAGAGAAATATGCGTCTGGGTCAAGATCCTGATTCCGATCGATTTGCACAGGTGCTCCTTGAGATCGGAGCTGGTAAGGGCACAGATGGAGATGGCACAGTGACCCTCCCCATTGCACGCTGTGGCAACAATAATGTGCAGTCTCTCATCAATGCCCTGTACTCTGAAATTCTGCTCCCTAACCATCCTCCCTTGAATGATTCCTACTTCCTCGATCGCACCATCCTCTCCGCAAAGAACACCGATGTGGATGAAATCAATACCACAATTCTTCAATTATTCCCTGGAGAAAAGGCAGTCTTCACCAGTGCAGACTCAGTCACTGAGAAAGACTATGACTACATCCCCGCAGAGTTCCTTCATACCCTCACCCCATCAGGCTTTCCTTTGCACAGATTAGAGGTCAAAGCAGGCGTTCCTCTGATGCTCTTGCGCAACTTGGACCCCTCACAGGGACTCTATAATGGAACTCGCATGATCCTCCTGTCTTGGACCACGCGCATCCTCAGGTGTCACATTCTTAGGGATGGAAATGATGAAGCTCGGCATCAAGATCAGAACACCGTGCTGATTCCTCGGATGACTCTGGAGGCGAGTTCTGAAGAAAACCCCATTCCTCTCAAGCGGCTTCAATTCCCCATTCATCTTGCATTTTCCATGACAATCAACAAGGTTCAAGGTCAGAGTGTCAAGTGGGTTGGCCTTGATTTGCGTACTCCTGTCTTCAGTCATGGACAGCTTTGTGTGGCTTTGTCTCACTGCACTCATCCAGAGAGAGTGTTTGCTATTTTCCCAGAGCATGAAGAAGGCACAAAGACGACCAATGTTGTGTATACAGAAGTACTTAGAGGACTGACTGATTCTATTGCTGATTGATTTACATATTATGTACTTTTATGTTGTATAGTAGATTGTACCTTTACTTTTGTCAAAATCCTGAATACTGCTCAAAAATGTAATTTATTTCAAAATTTTCAAAATTCTGCTATGATTATCAATTGTTAATTATTAAGTTTGTGAAGTTGCTTCCTGTGCCGAAGGCACAACGGGTGTGGGCTCGTAAGATTGGAACCTGCTGGATAAATCATTAAACTCGTGTCGTGGACTCTCAACAATGCAAGCGCGACAAATACTTGCATTTCTGTTCCGTTCCCACTGCAGCTGTCACTCGCAAATGAGATGTATATTGCTTGCACGAAATAAAATTGAGTGGGGCTATTTGAATCATCTTTCTCTTGGACCTCTGGCTGATGTTTTCGAATAGCATTCACCAAGCACGGATACTCTAAATCTGACCACTCCACAAAGTTTGATTCTTCGACATCCGGAGTCCAGCTTTTGGGGAACCAGTGTTGAAGGTTCCCCTTCAATCGTCGTCCTAAAACGCTGGAAATCCGAGCGGCAAGATCCTCCGAGTCGACTATTCTATGTTTACAGGAGACGCCAAATCGCCATCGCCTGCAAAATTTCTGACCAGCACTAAAATTGTCGCCGCTGGAGTCACGGTATGCGTGCTATTCTATCGCACTGGGGCAGGACAACAAAGTCATTTCGATACAGGCGCCACGAAGTTGATAACCACAGGACTTCGGTATGGATATTGACCGGTCGACAAATGTATAAGATTTCTCGCGGCGAAGTTCAACCACGGCGAGATCCTCCGAACTTCGGAGGGTACACGATGCATATTACCATTCATCGAGTCCTTAAATTCCCTTGCCTGGAAGACGTTCTGCAGTTCATCGCAGGAGCTTCGGCATGGCGGCGCAGGGTCTCACGACCTTGAGTCCTGTCTACGCATCTGCATGATCTGAAATGGCTTGCTTTTAGCTGGAACTGTTGTTCTAGGCGTCAAAATCCAAGTATAAGACGTTCAAGGATGCATGGGCGATATCTCCACATTGTCTCGTCACTGCACAACTATGAACATCTATGCAGGCATCGTATATCGCTCCCTAGACCGACGTCTTCTTCATTTGCCACTTCAAGAGGTCGACGTGAGAGTATGGATGGTCGACGGTGAGCGGAAAAGTGATACAAATGCACCACCACTAATCAGTATTCCTCTTTCCTCCTAGTCTCTGCGAGGGTTATGCTCTCTCAAGTGTTCGTGAATACGTCAGAAAGCCCTACCAGCAGGGCCAAATACGTGTTCCCTCTTCCAGCGAGGGCCGCGGTTTGTGGTTTTGAACTCGAACATGCCGATGGTCAGGTTATAGTCGGTGTCGCCAAGGAGAAGTCAGAAGCTGCGAGCAGCACATTAGGTGCCCGAAATACTGCAGGACATGTTGAATGGGTGACGGAAGGTAGTATGACACATTATGACGATCTTGGTGAGCGCTGACCTTGACCTTTGATCCAGTATTCACGATTTCAGTTGGCTCAATTCCCGCACGGCAGAAGGTTACCGCAAGGTTGACGGTGAGTGCACTTTCGGGTCGTTATGAATGCATTATTGATGAGCGAGCCAGTTTGTAATGGATCTTTTGGATGAGGGAAGACGAGACCATGTCTGTCTACAGCTTCCAATGGCCATCGCTGAACGACACAGCGATACACCAGCAGCCATGCTCGATGGGTTCACGACTAATGAAAGGACGCGTGTTCAAATCGCCGTGGACGTTCAAACCAGCGATATGATTCAGGACATATGCAGCCCTACTCACCCGATTTCTCTCCTGCGCTACAAGACGCGTGCCGGACAACAGTCTGAACGTCGGATGACCGCAACTTGGGCATCTACGACGTTCCTAGATCAAGACTTCGTGTTGATGGTGCATGCCGTCGGCCTCGACCAACCTCGATGTTTCGCCGAAGTCGATCCCAAACATGCGAATACCATTGCCATGCACCTCTCCTTTGTACCGAAGTTCACCATGCCACGCGTCTCTGCACAAGAGTACATCTTCGTCATTGATCGCAGCACGAGCATGAGCGGAGCCTCAATGGAGACTGCTAAGCGCACGCTGGATCTTCTCTTCCACCTGTTACCGGACTCAGATACAACTTTCAATATGTTCGGCTTCGCGAGTGAGGTTGATGGTATGTGGGAGACAAGTGCGCCATTCAGCGAAGCAACCATGCAAGATGCGGTAATCGTGTTCTGTCTCCGTCTAGAGCAACTAACACTGAGCGACTTGTGCAGATATCGAATATACAAGCCATGCAAGTGGATGTCAGCGGAAAGGACACTGCGAATGCCCTACAGTCTGCTCTTGCGTCACGTGATCGCGATCGCCCAACTACGGTATTCGTCCTCACTGACGGAGACATACACGTTGGAGTGGGGCAGCAAGAGGGCATTTTTGCGCGATGTCGTAGAGTAGTGACACAAGTCTTGTCGAGAACCAAGCGCTCGAGGTCATCATCCGACTCTAATGTGTGTCTGATGTCAATCATGCCCGTACTCAAACTGATGATAAACCAGTCCTCTGCAAACCTCGACCCATTCAAGGTGGTCTCCGCGGCTGTTAATGGCTGCAGGCCCGAAGCACCTTTGAGGGTGTTTACCCTCGTGATCGGTGAACGTGTCTCATCAGCCATGTGCGAGCGCCTTGCTCGCGAAGGCAGGGGTGAATGTCTATTTGCTGTTCAAGCCGAGGACGTCGTAGCGAAGTGCGCAAGGCTTCTGAACGCTGGTCGAACACACCTGATCGAGAGCATCACGGTTGATTGGCACGGTTCAGGGAACCCACCAGCTGTCAACTTCTCACCCTCGAGTCACCATTACTTGCTTCCGCCCAGCACTGTGCAGCTGGAGCCACCGCATCTGGTGCAGCAGGCCCCGCATAGGATCACGAAGGTATTACCCTGGATGCGCTTCAATGTCTTTGCAGTCGTTGCATTTCGATCGATCCCTCGTGAAGTGAGGTTGCGTGCCAAGGTTGAAGGCTTGGCAGGGGTTCTCGAGCTCGTGGTGCCTGTCACGACAGTCAAACAACCATTCAAGGATGAGCCGTCCATACCACTCCTGCATACTATGGGTGCACGTGAATTGATGAAGAACCTCGCAGAAGGTAGGGCACCGCTTCCCGAACCTATGGCACCTGCTTCGAATGAGGAGGTTCGAAAAGCGGCGATCGTCCGCTTAGGACTTGAGTACCACCTTGCGAGCCAGTACACGTCTTTTGTTGCCATAGAGTCCCAAAGGGAGACAGCGAGGAACCAACTGTGCGGTTCGACGTCTTGGCAAAGGTCTCAGCGTCGCTATAGCGATGCACCACAGCAACCTCTGGAAACAGATGTGATCACCGTGCAGACTGCTTTGGACAACTTGTCTCAGGTTGTTTCCGCGGTATTCAGTTTCTTCTCAGATACTGCCCCGACAAACCCAAGACACCAGAGGCCGATTCCCGGCACATACTATTCCACTGCACAATCCCATTCGAGCTCGCTGCTGAGTCAGAGTGGACGTTCATTTCAACACGACAACTCGAGCACGGATACATTCTCCACGCTGAGTTCATTGGAAGGCTCTTCCACTGATTCTCGATGGACCAATTCTCGGTCGTCTAGCCCCGAAGATCCAATCCAACGCGTCCCATCACCAGTCTTCGATCCAATCCGTAACACGCGTCTGAGGGCACGACTCCCAGGACGTGCAGCACAACCACAGGTATCCGGGCCTCGCCCCCCACCCGTTCCCAAGGAAGTGTACGCTCTCATCTCGCTACAGAATTACGATGGCTCGTTCACGCCGTCGCCTCAACTGGGGGCGCTTGTGGGTGTCGAAATATTGGGAAAAGCGGCAGACCTGCAGGTCGATGGGAATATATGGGCGACTGCGGTCGTGGTCGCGTACATGAAGTATCATCTGGGTGCGCAGCCGGATTTTCTGCATGTGCTGCTGAGTAAGCCTCTGGCGTATGTTGAGGGAAGGGGTGTGGGCTTGCTGGTCGGACGAGATTTTTTTGACTTGGTGGCGATTGCGGGGCGGTCCGTGGGTTAAATTATGGTGACTTTTGCGAGATACGATTGTTTCTTGTCAAGAGATTTTGTGCTCGCGCTCTTAATTTGATCTGGCTTCAATGACTTACTAGAGCGTGAAGTCAACCCGACGCCGTCCTCTTTTGCGAATTCCACGCACTGGCAAAAGAATGGGAGACAAACCCCGCCAACAGCAGGAAAGGTTGAACAGCGACAAATATATGTGCTTCTTTGTTGCGAACGAGGACGACCTGACTTACTACTAAATTGAGCGCATAAATAGTGACTGCTATCCTCATCGAAAGCTGGGACCACCCTGTTACGAGTCCACATGAGATGCATATATGATGCTGAAATGTCTGGGGAGGTTAAATTCCGAATAGGAGTAGTATATAACACAAGTTAGCCGGTACCGCTCACCTGGATTTGTTTGTGAAATTGTAACATCATCCTTGTATGTCAATGATCACTAGCTGTTTGCTCTCAGGGCCTGTTGCGTTTGCCCCGCGCTAGCTCTGCTGTGCTGAACGTACTTGGGTCTGGATCATCACTTCATACACGGTATATATCCTATCTTAATCAATCAAAGGAGATGAAGTTTTTTGGATGGAAAAAATGTAGAAGGGAATAGTATGGTATAGTATAAAAGATATACGTTGATAGCAACGTAGATGGTATAAGTAGTCTTTGCTCTGCCTGTTACACACTATTGCCGGAGCCTCGGATTCATGTTACCGTCGGTTTCCCCCACGAATCCGAATGCTCAGGTTCATCACCGTAGTCTACCATCACCGAGCGCTCGACGCATACGCGTATACCGAGTTCCATATCGTTGCGATGCCCATTGCGAGGCGATGTGGACATGAACTCTGCATCAATGGGGCTTCTGGAACTTTTGGAGTGACTTTTAGACCCGAATTGCGAGCGGAGACCGGACATCACTTTCCGCGCAGGACGCGCGACGACCACGTTTTCCAAGTGATGGCCGTCTGACTCTGCCATTTCTTTGTGGGTGTGAGGTGAGCGGAGTGGGAGCAATAGAACGAATGAACATTGGACGCGTCAGCGGAAGATCAGTCAAGCTTGGAGTGGTACGCACCTCCTACATGGATAAGAATCCGTTGGCTCATGATCCACGTGACAGCATAAGCTATTGATGCCCTAAGGATGCATTCTGAGTGATCGGAATTTCTTTGACGATGCAAAACTTACCCTGCCGACTGATAATTGAAGCGAGCCAGTATATTTGCGCTGAGCTTCCAGGTTATATCGGTAATTAAACCTACGTACCTGAGTCTCGAAATCGGTCGTATGATAAAGGATGAGGTTCAACACGTTTACCGCTGAGGGAATGTTAGGAGGGTTATCGTCACAAGTAGAGTGTACTTGCCGGACAGCGCGATGAAATATCCAATGCCGTCATAGATCAAGCTAAATATGATTAACGATGCACATCGACTCTGCCAGTGGTGAAGGACTTACACCCGTACCAGCCGTTCCACTCTAACAACAATGGTTTAACGACCATAAAGCCATAAGAGAAAAGGCGTACCTGCTGCTAAGAGGATTATAACGCAGAAGATGCGTGATAGAAATCGTCAACATCACGAGATCATACGACATCACAGCGAGGTAGTAGAACCAGGTTGTCAATACTTTCCCAATATTTGCTGGGGTGCAGCTATGGTTCATGAGGATCTGCACAGCCCATACTGGTGGTAAATGAACCGCTTACTTTCCCTAAAACAAAAGGGATGCTGTTTGCGTGAGATCTCGTTGTGAGGAACAGTGACGTACTTCAACAACAACAGCTGTCGGTTTTAAAGTTCAGTGCGAACCCAAGATTAAAATATTAGCCAAAGCTTACGGGTGCGGTGAAATATATCAGTGAACCACTCTAGCTAAAAAGTATAAGAGAGAGGATATGATGTTTGTGTGGCAAGAACCTACCGAAACCGAAAAGAGGTATAGCAGCAACAGCGCGATTCCTATCCGCCTATTTCTCCTTGCAATATTGAATGTCCTACACGGTGTTCAAGTCTGTGCAGCTCGTAACCCACAAAAAATGCTACAGGACATACCTAACACCTAGGATGACCTGTGATACCATAGTTTGTAAGACTACAGCGTGGTCAATAGAGTCCTAGTGGGTGAACATCAATAGGACAGACTTTTGAAGATAGGCGCCAGAAGATAGTATTGTTGACACGCTTGTTGGGTAAAGGCAGTGGAGAAATATCCGTAATTGCTGAATGTCATGGTCAAGACACTAACATAGCTGCCTCAAATGTGAGCGGAAAAAAATCACACGACATAATGAGGACAAAACACACCGTATGAGAATGAATAAGGCGCAGGAAAGACTGAGGAAGAGTGAGCTTGTCAATAGTGGTACATGAAATTGCAGTGTATGTGTACGTACCTGATATGAACATTTGACGACTGTTTTCGGTAAAACCGCCACTCTGCGGGGAGAGTGATAATATAGCTAAACGTAATCAGTCAGAATACCGTGACAACTACGGGACACTCAATAAAAGAAAGACTTACTCGTAAAATGCAACGGAGATGGATGCTATTCGCAAATACTTCTCCGTACTATTTAAAAGTAAACGCCGTTCCATTTAATAGACAAAAAGCGTGTTGCTTCTAGTGAATATATGGTAGCTCTGCGTCTAGATGGTGTTCTTGACAGATTGAGATGGGAGATGAGGTAAAGTCTTGGAATATGGTATCAAAGGCTGCAGGCGAGCTGGTGACGGAAGGCTTCTGCGAATTGGGACTCTGACGCTCCGCTTTCGACAGGGAAAGGAAGTAAGGCATTTTAAAGACATGTCATTGCTTTTCTACCAAAACCAATACTTTGAAATTGATTAAACCTGCTGGAGTAGTAGGCAAAAGAAAAGGGGTAAACTTATCCAGAGTCCTCGTCCTCGGCTCGATCAGATTCAGAGTCAGACACTGTAAAACTTTCGTGCAAGCCAGGTGACCGTATGCCAGCAAGCATGTTTAAGGTCCAACCTGTCAACGTCGCTGATGTAAGCAGGCATGGTAGTCAGCCAATTAAAATCGTTTATCGTTTATCGGAGTATAGTCAGCCAATCAAATTCGTTTTACTCGTTTACTTGGCCCCCACCCCAAGCTCTTGCAACCTGCGAGGATCGCACCCATAACCTAGAAATCACTGCAATATGTTCGAATCAGAAGTACTCTAGTTGATCATATGACACGTTGGTTTCAAAAAATCAAATACTCAGCGTATGCCGCAGTTTACCTCTAAGCAGGCAATAGTGCTATCCGTATTGATAGACATCGTGTAGAGACAACGACACCTATACCTGCCGATACTCACCTAAAACATATTGCTCCCTTCCTCACTATTATGAGTGGGAGAAGAATATCGTTGTGTACAACAACTGTACAACGACATCCGTACATCAAACGCAAATTCATACCCAGGCCCCAGGGTCACCCGAAGTATTCCAAGACAACCCTGCAACATCAGCCGCAGCGCCCGTCGCAGGACCTGGGCACTTCATTTACATAGCACTTAACCTACGGCATCGAACAATGATGCACCTTAAAAGACATTTCAAGGAACGTTCTCCGAGTGTCCACTATTCCCACTGTCTCAGCGCACAGCCCTCTGACTGATGATTGGATCACTGGTTTCGTGAGAGCAGTGCCTTTCGTTATGCAAGGCGAAATGGCAGCTCGCTGCTTCAGATTCTCTCTTGCGCATTGTCGACAAACGCAGCAGCAACTTGCTGCATACATAGTTCCCAACCGACCAAAATCCTGCAAGCAGGCTTTCTCGTGAGCAACCTTGTGCACTTGTATTGACACAATTGAAGTGAAGGCAGATAGGCCCACCGACTTTGCCGTTGCCAGACAATTTGAAGATCCCAACAGGCTACCGTATAGCCCACGATCTGCCGTGGCTGATACCCCGAGCACAGGGATGCAAGATATGCAAGCAGGTGTGCCCCGTCAGACGATGCGAGGTCATACCAGCTGGGTACGAGATGTTGTGCACCTGCACGACGGGCGACACATCATAACATGTTCGGATGACACCTCACTCCGATTATGGGACCTGGAGAGCGGCGTACAGATCGGCGACGACTGGCGAGATGAAGGGGATGAGTCAGCAGTGTTCGCCATAGCATTGTCTCCGAACGGCAAGGCTGTTGCAAGCGGAAGCAGTGATGGGAAAGTGAGGCTGTGGGACGTCACGATGGGGAAGGTCGTTGCCAAATGGACAGGGCCTACTAAGTATGTGTGGTCAGTGTGCTGGAGTGCAGATGGTGAGCGAGTCATGAGCGGATACCACAAAGGGATGGTAAGAGTGTGGGATGTCAAGAGCGGCAAAACCGACCTAGCAATCACAACCGGGCACGAGACTGTGTGGGCGGTCATGTACTCGCCTGACAACACAAAATTTGCGACGGGTGGATCCGACGAGGATGCAGTGAAAATATGGAATGTCAAGACAGGCGAGCTGCTCGCCGCACTTGAACACGATTCACATGTTTACAACCTGACATGGACGTCGGACGGAAGGAAACTTATCTCCGCGTCATATTGCTCGATTACGATCTTCAACACAGCCACATGGCTGCAGATCGGCATCCTTGAGGGTCACACAAACTGGGTTCGCACCCTCTCATTGTCTCGGAGCAACCGCCTCCTTGCGAGTGCATCAGGGGATAAAACAACGCGTTTGTGGAATCTTGATACGAACCTCCCAGTCGGTCCACCCCTCCAACACGAAGGAGAGGTGAAATGTGCAGCCCTTTCCTCTGATGGAAAGCTGCTAGTCACCGGTTGCCGTGACCAACATGCGTATGTATGGGGCAGCTATAACATCCTAGAAAAAGCGGACCTTGAAGGCCTGCTGTCCGTTGCTGATGCGAGTATATCTCATGGTTTAGTACAGCACAGGCTAATTCCCACTCGCAGGTCCCAACTGGAACATTGTTAATGGAAGTATGTGACGGGTTTTCAACCTTGTCTATGATTTGAACATTGGTTTTCTAGGCGGATGATACGCAAGGTCCAGCTCGGCTTGAGAACGCCCGTCAACCGCTACAAGGGTACCTGATTGACAACACTCAAGATAATATTGTTCATGTGTGTTGCCATCATATCGATTCACCGGCTCTTATTCTGACCTCTATGCTCTTAGCCCTCCACGACGTCTCATCATTCCGACACCGATGACACAGCCCGACTCCAGCAACGCTCCAGGCAAAATTCCATTTCTCATCATGGCCTTAGTCTTGTAGGAGTTGCTGCAGTGCAGGACAAAGGTGTATGTCTTTCTTCAATGTTTCCATTCGCTGGTGTCCGATAATCTTTGTGCAGTCCTTGTATGTTGCTTGGCGGCCAGAACGAGCAGAGCAGCAGCACACCCAGGTAGCTGCTACCTCGACATCCACGCCACCTCTTGCTACTACCATGGCGGGTGCAGTAGATGTACAGTCACATCGCGCTATCATCATCGACAACCCCACGTGGTGGATTCGCTTCTTGTTGTTTGTCTGCTGGGTATCCTTTCGATACGCTGATTCATAGAGACAGCACACGGACCACTATTTCCGTGTTTTCATCTCAGTCTCTTCGTTTGTGTTGTTAGCTCGTCATAAACGTCCTTCGTTACCCCATACGCAATGTCCTGTATTTATATCTACCACCCTGCAGTTTGCTTTGGAACCTGTGCGCCACCATTCGAGGTCGTTCTCCATTAGATCGCGACTCAGTGTAGTGCGTACTCAATATAAGCCATCACATCTCAGATGCGCGCTAGACTGACATCAGCCCAACTAGAAGCTTCCACATCCAGCACGATGCGGTCCTACAACCACGCAAGCTCCCGGCAGCAAATTCGGCTAACACAAATAGTCGCAAAACACTCACACCTGGAAAGATGATCCAACGGACCCATCCGTTATGACTTCGCAGTCAATATGATAGTATACACAATCCATTGGTCTCTGGTACGTTCACATCAGCATCCCAAGCTGCTCTGGAATGAGAACTATTGCTCTTTGCATCACTATCAAATTTTTATGTCTTCCTCCCCACATTTTGAATGCTAAATTACAGAGACCGCTGATGTGCCGTGTCAGAATTGCCTTCATGCTGGATGGTTTTCTTTTAGTTTCGAACGGGTGAAGGACTTCCGGGCGAACAGAGCGAAAGTGCGCGATATATAGCAAATCAACTGAATGTTACTCCAGCTAAGCTTTTTAAGCTTTGGACGCACAGCACGATGGGTGATTTATCGGGACGCACCTTAAAAGGTAAAACGGGTGCCCAACTTGACTCTTCGACTCCGAACCAAACACAGCTGTAAGTACTCAGGCCGTCCTCGCATCAGTGTTTGGAGTGCTATCTGTGTGAGCTGTTCTGCTCCGAGTATGGGACCTAGAGAGTGGTGCACAGATAGGAGAGGACGGGAAAGATGACGGGAAGAATGCAGGAGTGTGGGCCATAGCATTGTCTCCAAACGGCCATACCATTGCAACTTGCAAGCGGAAGTCATGATGGGAAAGTGAGGTTGTGGGACGTCGAGAAGGGAAAGGTCATCGCCAAATGGACAGCGGACACTATGACTGTGTGGTCAGTGTGCTGGAGGGTGGATGGTGAGCAAGTCTTGAGCGGAAAAACACTCCTGGAAATCAAGACCGGGCACCACCATGTGGACACGGTGATCTACTCGCCCGACTCATCAAAAATCGCGATGAGCAGAGAATACGAGGATGTTAAAATCTGGGATGCAAAGACGGGCGAGCTGCTCACCACACTCACCGCGTTATGGACCTATGTGAAACATGGGTAGGACACCCGTGGGTACAAAATCTACCGTAGGGACACACATGTACAATCACATAATATATACCGGCGAAGGCTGAACTTTCTTGAACACACCACTTTCTAGTATTTTGCTTATAACTCATTAGGATCTTAAGCAAAAAATGTTGTGAGACTATGGATAGACTACTCTTGACAAGGGCTACAAATTTTATTTTCTTCGAAAAAGTTCCCACGGTCAACCATAGTCAATACTAAGGTTTGAGATCAATGTTAAGGTAATAGAAAGACTTAGTGAAATTTTTGTGCTCAATCCTGTGAGCTCTGTGGGTCTGTAACACACTGTGGGAATTGTGGCTCTGTGGCTCTCGGATCTCTGTGAGTTCTGTGGGTCTGTAGCACACTGGGAATTTGTGACTCTGTGGCTCTGGGATCTGGCAGCTCTGTGGTATCTGGCACACTGGGAATCTGTAGCTAAATCAAAACTCTGTGCAAGAGTTTGTGGTTTACTGATGTATCCTGATATGGGTCGAGTACATGTATGCTACACATCTGTTCACCTTTTCTCCCCAACCCCATCACCAAGCCCCAAATTGAGTGCATATACCTGTCTGAATCAGCGCATATACCCAGCAAAAATGTGCATCAATGGCAGCAGGAAACAGCAGGGTCCTCCACCAGGTCCTCCACCACCACATCCACCCCTGTCTGGTGGTCCAAATGACCCCCTGCCTGTTGCATTGCACACCTTGCTGGCAAACTTGATGCCAGAAGTTTTACTTGCTCTTGCGGCACGGGCTGTGCAGGGTCAGCCTCAACAGAATCTGCCCTGTCAAAATCACATACCTCAATCCCTGCCCCCCAGTGGACAACACACTATCCAACTGGACTTAGAAACTGTGTCGGATGTACAGGTGCTACGGGGTATATGTGAGAACCTCCAGCTTGAGGTCAATCACCTGAAACGTGCTCACCAAGATGATGGTGACAAGGCAGATGATGAGGATGAGCCTGTAGATAAAGGTGTGCATCAGAAGAAGAAAAAGAAGCTGGCAAAGGGCAAGATACGGATGTACCTTCTCAACCACCCTCTTCAAGAACTCTCAGCAGCCAAGAAGACTACATGCAAAGAACTGCAGGTGAGTTCATCAAAAATGTGGGCACATATATGCGTACTTACCTTCAAACGTGGTGCAGGAATGTCTTGATATGGCGATTTTCGATGTTACAGGGACTTCCATGGACATGATTGAGACTGATGATAGCGATGGGGGTGACAGTGGAGAAGATCCGTGAGAGGGCGAGAAGTTGCAGTTTGCGTTTGGTGGTGACAAGGGGGTACAAGCATTGCGCAACAAGAAGATCATTGATCGTGCAGCAAATACTAGTCCAAGCATGTTGTGCCTTTGGCACAGGAAGCAAGCAGAGCACGAAGTGCTCTGCTGGAGGCACCTTTGGTGCCTTGTCTCACTGTGTCTACATATTATTTACTTGTGTGAAATAAATAAATTCTTACATCTTACATTTAAAAAATATTTGTTTTAGTTATGGGATGTTGCACAAATAGTTTGACTGAAGGTTACCTGGGACACTGGTCTGCGATCTCATGGCCTCGTGCCTCGGCCAGCGGGATGCAAGCCAGTGTCCCAGGTAACCTTCAGTCAAACTGTTTGTGTCTTGCTATTGACTCATACACTTCCTCCCAATTATCTTATTTCCAATTTCCCGTCTCCCGTCTCCCGTCTCCTGTCTCCCGTCTCGTCTCGTCCCGTCTCCCGTCTCCCGTCTCCCGTCTCCCGTCTCCCGTCTCCCCCCGTCTCCCGTCTCCCGTCTCCCGTCTCCCGTCTCCCGTCTCCCGTCTCCCGTCTCCCCGTCTCCCGTCTCCCGTCTCCCGTCTCCCGTCTCCCGTCTCCCGTCTCCCGTCTCCCGTCCTCCTACTGCTCCAATAATGTCACATCACCCATTTCATACATCACTCTCATCCAATCAGAAATCAAATCATATTATAGGAACAACTCTAACACAAAAAACTATTCAGAAGGCTCCAAGCCAGGTGGAGGGCCCTCCTTGCATAGCTCATCCAAATGCTGACGCTCCTCCCGACTTTTTCCCTTCATCTGCTCAAACATGTGCTTTTGCCAAGCATCCACCACCCTGCAATGCTTTTGATGCTTACGTGCCTCCTCCAACTGAGAGCAGAAGGTATCCACATCCCTATCATCATTCTTGAGGTCTTGCTCATGTTGCTCTTCCCACCACATGATGTCCTTTGCCAACTTCACGTTATATCGTCGGAGGTCATGGATTGTCTGATCCATAGCATTGCGATTCTCTTGCCAAGTGGTGACCTTAGCATACGGGTTGTTGAGTCATCTCTGTTCAAGACGCGTGATGTGACTCTCAGACCAGCGGCGACGGAGTTCAGCAGACCAGTCAGTCACAGCAGGCGCTGACAACTCAGAAGGAGGGGGTACTGAAGGAGGGGGTACTGAAGGAGTTGTGGAGGTGGGAGGTGGGGCCAGCATGTTGACAGGCTGGTGATGACGTTGCTGCAGGCGGGCAGCAAAACTTGCATCAAAGCCCTGCAGAAGCCTGGCATTCCAGTCGACAGTAGGTCTGGGCTCCTGCCTTGTAGCTACCATAAATACACAATCAGACAAAGAGAGAGAGAGAAAAACTCACCTTGTGACATGACCCAGCATGACAGGAGTGTCACGTGATAATGCACCCAAGCCAGCATCAGGTGCTGAGGAAGCACTGGGAATAGCTGCTGTAAATTGTGTGATCAGACAAAAACAGACACCAAAAAACTCACATGGTGATGTGACCCAGTGTAACAGGGAGCTCCGTGTCACGTGACATGGCCAAAAACGCGTCCGAGCCAGTATCAGGTGCTGGGGAAGTGCTGGAAATGGCCATAGTGAAGTGTTGAGGGCACTGGGAGGCAGCAGAATTCAACAGCTGATGGTGAGAGGTGATGGCAGGTGATCAGAAGCGATGGCAAGTGATTGGGAGCTGCTGGAATGGTAGAACAGTGTTGTGTTGTGTCGCGTTGTGTCGCGTCTGGTGCAGTCGGTGCTGAAAAAAAAAACCATGTGAAGTTGCCAAATCAAGCGAAATCCACATATGACCAAATTCAGACGATGAAACTCTGTTTGATAGAACCACATGGCATTGCTCTTTTCAGTGACCTTAGCAAAAAAACATGGTGTCCATGCGATGAAACGTGGCATCCATGTGTGGGTGGCTGCATTCCCACACCCTTCTCCCTTGCTTTTTAGACGTTCCCACACCCTTCTCCCTTACTTTATAGATTGTCTGGAATGAACAACATGTGAGTGTTCAATGGATCATCAAATATTAGTTAGTTCATGTACGTGGCATTCGGAAAGGATTGTGATGCAGAGACTTGCACCCTTGGACACAAGGACATCAGTTTCATGAAGAAAGACATTGTTGCGTTTGCCAAAGACAAGTTTCGGAACTTGAAGCATAAGTATGCCGAAGTCACGGACTCTTCTAAATGAGCGAAGCATTGGAAACAGAAGGTGGTGAACAAGAGGAAGAAGCACCGTAAGCAGGTGTGTATATCCAAAATGAACACGAACCTTTAAAGACTATGGCGCAGATCTGACACTTCTCTTGGAGACTGAGTACATGTCTGAAGAGATATCAGAGTGTTAAGGTCGTGCTCAAGGGAGAGGTTACTCAAAGGGCTTCGGCTTCAGCTTGTGCGCTGCGCCCCTTACCCGAGTACGTGCCCTTAATTTCTGGGGGACAGAGGGGAAGTCCGACAGAAGTCCGGGGAGTTCCGGAGGACTTAGTGTCGGTGGAGTTTGGCGGAACTCCGGAAGGTTTATACTGGGACGGAGTAAGGCTACTACGGAAGTCCGGAGTAGAAACTGAACAGAGGTTAGACTACCCTAAGGTAGAGCCGGAGAAGTAGTCCTAAGGTTTAACCCCTAAGACTCGGAGGTGGACAAGAGATGAGACTCAAGTCTGGAGATTGCAGGAATGAGCAGAACTAAGATGATATTCAAAACTGAGGAGTTCCGGAGTATTACAGGGGTTTATATACTGTAGGTATCATGTAGGTAAATCAGTCAGAAAAGGTAAGGGCTATGTATGAAGCATGTGGAAAGTCTGTTACTAAGTATAACGGATCAAAGCAGTGAAGTCGGAAATGAAGTAAGAATGGACGGATCAGTAAGCATAGCAGAATAGGACATAACCGGTAACCGGAGCAATAGTTAATCTAAAAGGAGTTAGGGGTGAGTGCGGAGATGAAGGCGGAGCGCCGGGCGGAATAGTAAGATGGAGGACCAGATTTTAATGGAGTAGATCCGGAATTCCGGATCCGGAGGTACGGGATATGACACAGAGCTCGAAACCGATAACGAGGAGAAGAAGAAGGCTCACCATAAGATCCTATTGCAGAAAGCTGGCTTTGTTGGGAGCGATGAAGAAGATGCTGTTGTGTGGGAAGTGGTTTGTCAGGAGTGGAGATCCAAGGATGTATGACCGAAGAGACAAACTTACCCTTGGTGTTGTTGATGTTACTGACTTGATGGTGCTAGTTCAACGACGTCGTGGAGCGGATTGACAAGATCAGGTGAAGGCTGCATTGCGAAGCGAAGAACAAATGAGTCCATACTAAACGAGTCAACATCGGAACTGTTAAAGACCACGCACCTGAAATCCTGGTGTACCCATTCATGCTCAGCAACAATTGGCTGGCCAAGTTCAACCTCGAGAATCCTGGTGCTTCACTCAATATCAAGATGTCCAATCTGAGAGGCTTTGGACCCATATATTATCAGCTGGACACTCAAGAACAAGACAATTACAGCCCTGGCACAACTTCCGAATACAGTAGTGGAGAAGCAAATCACGGTGAAGCCTCGAGAGATGAGATGGATGATGGTGACATGTAGGATACACTGCTGAAGTTCTTTCTTGCTGTTCTGTGCGCTGTGCTGCTGTGCTGTGTTGTGCTAAAAAATTGAAACTTCCTATATTTGCGTTCATTTGAGTTGAACTCGCACGATGAATGGCGCTAAGTACTCACTCGACTAAGCCCAATCATTACCCACATCTTCTGTACGATTTCGTCATTTTTCTTTGTGATTGACGGTTGACAGACTTGGGAGATCAGGTGGGACGGCAAGATAAAACATTGAGGACCATCAACTGTCGGATCAAGGAAGGCTTCATGCTCCCACAACCGAACTTCAAGTTCCGGACTGCAAAATGGTTAAAAAAATGTCCAACATATGAATGAGTTTACTTACTATTTAACCCAGTCCCTCATGTCGACATCTAGCTTCTCTTTGAGTCACCGGATCTCCAGAAGGGTTATCTCTCGTGGTACGTGACACTGTGCATGAGATATGATAGACATGACTTGCCCAACATAATGTCTGCCTCCAATATTGTCTTGTATGAGAGAACTTGATGCATTATTCAGCAAGGAAGATGGTAGGATGCGATGACCATCAACAACGATGTGCGTGAAGGTTCGAGTGCGGCTATTGAGGAAATTTGGGTCAATTGCGTTAGTCAATGCTGCGTGCGAGACGACTTTAGTGTTAGGGTACGAGGATTCATAGAACTTAATTAGTTGGTCTTGCTGCTGCCAAGAGAGAGTTGTGAAAGCAGAGGCGCCAAGTGAGAAGCGTGCATCAAAGTCTTCTGCAGCTTGATCCATTTCATGAGCGAGAGAGGCTACTGTCCCGCATGTGTCGCCATCAGTGGCCAAGATAATTCTCACAGCTTCTAACAGCAGCTCGTTCTCGGCCGATGATTCGTCTTGCATATTGGGTGCAGTGTTTAGATTCGCAAGCTAAAGGAAGAATGAGGATCGGATCCAATGCATAGAATATCACGCACCATATCACACAATGCAACATCCTTCTGAAATGCACGCATGAACATGACTTCAATCTCGCTGTTGCTGTGATTATTCGTCGAGTAACTCTTGAAGACTTTGTTCAAGCGCTCGAAGAGAAATGTCCAAAAGTTGTACACAGGTCCGTAGTCTTGTAGTTGATCGAAAATATGAGTTACCCAATGATGCATGGGCTTTACATTGTCAGAGTAAAGCTAGCAGCCCATGTATGATCATACTGGACATGCTTAGAAAGTCGTACGTCAGTGCACCTCGAGATATTCCATAAGGTAGTTGCGGAGCAATTCCTTGGCGCGTGGAATATCGGCATCTTTGAAGGAACGTCCGAGGATGATTTTGAGGGCTGCAGCAAGTTTCAAAAAATTGTCAGGTGCTGACGGATGCATCTGAGGAACGGGCTTCATTGATGGTTTGTCGTCACCCTTTTTCGGTTTTCCAGTGGTGAGACGAATGAGTCGTTGTCTCTCTCTGTTCTCCCAGGACGTTAATGCCTTCTCATATGTAGTGTTGGCCTTCGGGTACCACTCCTGCCATAGAAAGGGTATCTTTGAGGTATTAGAATTAGAATTAGATCAGTTCTCATTGCGCTACGATAAAATGAACATACCACGATTGGACAGAATACTAAGGCAAGTCCCTTCCACTCGTCTGATGTCAACGAGCCTCCAGCAGGATAGCCGACTTGTTCAGGGAGGCATCCAACCCAGTTGGGCATTTCAAACTGGTCAAACGGGCAGATGAGATAAAAGCTTGAACGAAATGATAACATACCGTCATTAGATACTTGTTATGACCAACGTTCACCAATAATGATGAAGGCGAGCACACAACCACTAGGACTCAGTCAAGGGGATAGTGAACAAGATGGTATTGAGCGTGAACGTCTAAGTCACTACAAGCATAGGAAACGAAGAGGTTAAGTCTAAGGAGTACTTACGCTAACTAACCTACTTATATACATAACATTGAATAGGAGTCTGAAAGAAATCAGCCAATGAGAAAAGAGTCGTATGATACTGTGGATGACTAAGTATGACATCATGATATATAAGCGAATGAGTAAGACAGCAACTAAACAGAAACCCAAGTTCCGACCGGTTCTTCTTTGGGAAGCGAGATTGTTCTAGCCCGTGGAGTAGGGGAGCCAATCAGAGAAACCACGGGTGATATATGAAGAGGTGAAGGTGTGACAGGGTGAGTAGTCATGTGACCGGTTCGGGTACTGGAAGTAGATGAAGGAAAACCGAGAAATGAAAAATGGTTCATATTAGGAATTTGTGACAATACTCATGAATCTGATCCAGTTCACGTTCATTTTTGTCAGTCCGCTTTCATATAGTGTTAGTTTGAATCCATGAATTGTACCAGTGACAATGTATGATACCTAACAGTTGATGTGAGTAATGACAGCATAGGGAGCAGGTCGACTCACCGAGAAGGAAACTGTGCATTGGGTCAATGACTGACATGCACACTGGGTCAAAATACTTCAAGCGTGAAAGCTCGAAGTAGAGTGCACTATGCAGCTTAAAGAAGGCCTCATGTTCCTTCTCATCCAGGTCCAGATACTCCTGGGCTCGTTTTGTATGCTCCTCTCCGTATTGAGGAGGAAATTCTGATTGAATAGATTCAGTTATATTTGCACAAGTAAAAGGTGACTTACTATCATAGTCCATTGCATCCCTCGTCTTCAACTCGCTGCGTTTAATGTGGCACCTAGTGCAAAATCCCTCTTCCTTGCGATGACCTCCGAACCCACAGACTTTACAGAGCACAGGGTTGTCGCAACAGATGGCGACCAGGATCATACGAACTTGGCAGCCTGCAGACACATCGTGTTAGCTGAAGTAACTTAGAGAAGTACTTGATGACATACCATTGGGATAATTTGGTGTCTTGGCCATGATTCCGTTTTCATAGAGTGAGATTAAGTTGTCGACGTAGTTTTTCATGAAAAATTGTAACTCATCACTATCAAACTCTTTTGGCCCTGGCGTGATACCAAAGACCATCAGATTTCGTGGTTGGTATCTAGACGAGTGTTCAAAGTCAGGAAGCGAACATTAACTGTAGCAAGTACATACCGCAAATGTGTCAGCAAGTTCGCAATACAATTTGACAGGACACCCGAGCTGTGCATTCCTGCATTACGACTGCACTGATAACCAAATCTAAGATCAACAATTAGCAGAGAGTATAGCATCGCTGAGGAGGAACAATACCCATCGAATCCTAGCGTGATACCAATGCAAAGCTCATCTTTGTCGGGACGTTCTGGACTATTGTCGAAGAAGAGCTCGCCATCTTGAATCAAAGCGTGCTTCCCAGGTTCTGGAACATGGCAGTGCCAAGCATCAAGTTCCTCCTCAATTCCTGCGTGAGAGAGAAGATGAAGGATCGCATTTGAGAGTGGATTCTGTGGACACTGTAGATGTGGCCGTGGTTTGGTTCTTGATGCGCTGGGCTCAAACAAAGGTTCAGAGCAATTTAAACATTTTGCATCACCTTGAGAATTGTGAGGATAAACATGGTGGCAAATAGGGCAAACAGGGTGAATATCGAAGTTATCCTTGATCTCGAGGTGGTTGAATACGGTATTGAGCGACCCGGCTACCTTCTCGTCAGGTGCGAGTACAGTGAGGCCAATGAGGATATGTCTTGTGATCTTGAGAATAAGAGTGCACGTGAGATGCGGCAGATGGTAGTGAAGATTTAGCCACGCGATGAGCAGCAGGGTGATTTTCCAAAACAAGTGAGGGGATGCTGCAGCTAAGACTACTGAAGGGGGATGAGGAAGCTCTAGCACTAGCTCCCCTTCAATGGTCATTTCATGGGTGATGGCATCCTCCAGGTGCATCTGCGGATTGTGAGTATGGGTGGGCACCACCGGTGCCTGTGAGCCGTTGTCGTCTATTCCATTACTCAGCTCAGTTGCACATATCTCTACCGTCTCATGACCACCATTGAGAGACATCAAATCATCCTGGCCATCGTCGGGTATAAAATCGATGTCAACATCAGCATCGAGTGCAGCTGGCAGCTCCTTTGATATGACACTGTATAAATCATCAGCGAAGTCATCATCAGCAGGCAGGGTAGTAAGCTGGGGGTCTGGAGCCAAATCCCCAGATGCAGAGACTCGACTTCCAACATTGGGCAGGTCATTCCAACTCTCGCCAATGTCAAAACCATCTACATCCATATTGGGAGCATACTTGAGCTGCTGCGGAGAGCATGAATGACGCAGCTCAGGTGCTATAGCTGATCAGAATGATCGGTCCACCAGAGTCAGTCTCCACGCACCTTCTATGACATTCCAAGAGGGTCCCACCTCAGGTTGCTGCATTATCTGGTGTGCAGCAAGTGTCTCGATGGTTTTGATGGACTCTGGATGCATTCTTGGGGCCTTCTTGTGTTCCGCCTCCTTCTTGCGATGTTCCCATTCCTTCCACTTCGGTATCGACTTGCCCTTGGGCCCACATTCTCCAGTACATTCGGAACACTTGCAAAAAACCTCAGTTTTGTGATAAGTCGCATACTAGTTGATTTTTGTCAGTAACAGCAAGATTTCTCGAATGTAATATGTACTTACATCACCTTTCGTACTTCGATTCTTCTCCTTCTTGTTCTTGGCCATCTGCAAGGAGTAGTAGATGCTCAGGCTGGTCTTGATTGGTAAGGGTTAAGGGTACAGCCTGAGGGGTGTTTGCCAAGTTCAATCCATTGTGTACTTAACAAAAAGGAGTTCATGATTACACCGGACATCACCAAATCAAGGAACATAAGATTTACAGATTTTCTAGCGATGCTGTTAGATGGATATTACAATATTTGGTGCGCAGCGACCATTTGTACAGGGCATGTAATTTATACGATGAATGTCCAATGCGAAAATGTAAGTGAAAACATGCAAAAATGGAAGCGAAAACATGTGAAAGGCATACTAGGTAAACAAATACAAGGGCTGCAAGGAGCATTCTAAGTGTATGTGTTGTCGGGGGCAACAGTGGCAGGAATGGCTTTGACCATCTCAAACAGGTTAGTTCCTTTGTCTGTCTTGATATCTCTGAGAGCATGACAAGGGCGAATATGCGGCCATGGTATGTTGTCATCACTAAACTTGGGTTTTGAGAGGAACTGTCATATACCTAATCCGACCACTCTGATATCAATATCCGCCCCGCTTTCCGACAACCTCCACTCCATCTATTCCTCCGCTCTGTCCAACCATCAACCACATCTGCTCCTGCATTTTCCACTCAACTGCTCAACCGGTTCCCTTCCATAACCTCTCCATTCAACTGGACCTCTTTCCCCTTTTAGATATATACTTTCCCCTTCGGTACATAGACCCTTACTTCTGGATCACCAGTAATTCCTATTACTGCTCGATCACTGATCTGACATGTACATATCGATATCCGCTCCAACTTATGTCTTCGCCTGTGTAAAGTACTTACAAACTATATCCTTGGTACATAGCTTTACTACATAGTTATCCTAATCACTGCCTCATACATAGAAGTATATAACATATCCTGTACTTAGATATTTTCCTCAGTCTTAATGTTACTTGTCTTCTCGCAGTTACCTCTTGTGAGAATTCTCAGTAGGACCTTGCCTCCTCTGGACACAAGTCTCAACTTGTTGTCACCTCTGACCCTCCGACCCTCCGCTCCAACTTAGAGCCATGCTCTAAGTCTTCCCCTTATTTCTCCGCCCCTTACAATATTCCCTCTGACCCTTTCCCATCCTCCACGTTATCCTCCACCTTCCCTGCTCCCACCAAATATTCCCCCTACTCCTATCCACCCTCCGCATCACTCCCCACCTCCTCCACTCTGCTCCTAGTCAGCCTGCCGCTAGTAGCTCTTACTTCCTGACCCTCAAAGTGGACCTAAGCGGTTCACTCGTCCTATCGTCAGACCTGCTCCAAATTTGGGGCACATACTCGGCTAAGGGCACAGCGCAAGAGCTGAAGCCAAGCCCTGACCCCTCTGCCTCCTGAGCCAGCACGGTACCTAACAGGAACACACACAGGAGCAGGTGGACACTCCCTGATTCCGACCAATTGTACAGGATTCGCGTGGAACGAGGTACTACTGTAGATGTGTTTTGTGTTAATTTGTGATTTAAACAAAAAAAAGGTCTTACTCAGAACTGGTAGACGTGATTTTGAGAGCTGCGAGAGCATCCATGATTATGTTTGCTTCAATAGCAGAGCTGCTGTAAATAAGTTAGTAGGAACATGGAACAAGAACACTCAAAATACTTATGTCTTGATTTGCTTGTTCTTGCGGACCCTCTTCCATCCATTGCTCGAAAACAACAACTCAGCTTCACTGTCAGTGGACTCTTCAACATGCATGAATTTGACAGCGTCTTTCAGATGAATGATGAGTTTCTATAGGAGAATTGTTAACATACAACCAACTGAATGTGTCTACTTAGTACTTACCACAGGACCTGGTTTTTTAGGCATGAATTTGATTTTATATGCCGGCCATCCTACGAGGAGATTGTCGATGTCCATAATGATAACGTTGTCGCAGAAATCAACACTGTCGGTGCAGTCAACAATATCTGAATCAGCCTGAGTTGAAGACATAGTGGTAGTAGAAGGTAAGAACATTATCAAGTTAAAATTTGAATTTCCGAGTCATTGATTGATTGATTTGGATATATTTATGCCCGGGGGCTAGTACAGCTGGATAGAAGATCTGCACTGATCTCATTACTAGGGCAGTACAAAAAGGATATCATCCTCCCACATACCTTGGATGAGGATCCCTCACCCAATCTTTCCTAATCTCTTCCTTGGTTGCAGGGGCCCGATAGAAATCCTCTGTGTATGGTAGACACAGTCAAAGCAGGAGAACCTGAACAGAGGTACACATGCACTGGCAACCGTCAGGTTGTCATACTGTTTGGGGACTCTAGTCCACTATAAGTAACTATATCTTCCCATAGGCCATCAGACAGGCACAAAATGCAGTGACTCGAACATGCTCAAACAGTTTTTGGCTTGGCATAGGCGTCGAGGCTTATCTCCGGTCAAGGGGTGGCTTCATTAGGATCTTCGACACAGCCACATGGCAGCAGATCTAATTCTGTACATTCTCGTGCCTCGAACTAACATAGAATACACGTCACACATTTTGGCGGGAAAACATGACACTTTTGTTACAATTTGTCACAAGCAGTCACAAAAACCCTGCGAAACACCTGGGTTGCCCAATAAGTCAGGCTTATTATACTGGGCGATCAAGCGCCTCGCCAAGTATTATTAGCCTTAGTTACCTAAATACCCAACACCAGCAATAAACATTGCCCAAAATAATGTCCAAGTACTCAAGCCTCAAAGGCATTACTATTATATAAGCTATATACGTATAATATTATTTTATCGCCCGAAAGCGGCAATTGCGGAGTACTACTGCCCAAAACATAACCTAATTTGGAAGTTCTACAATATCGATGTTTTCCTAGCCTCCCCAAGCCTCACCCTGCTCTTCCCTGTGTAGTAGGCTTGTATATACCATGTATTTTAGCTATGATACGCCTCATAGAACATACTGGGCCACTGTATTTACTACCAGTCACCAGAGGGAGTGTATAGTAGCCATAGTACTTTATACCTCATATACAACAGAAAAAGCGAAAATATACATGCCTCTAGGGTGTATCCTTCAGTCTATTATGATTTATAATATGTAATAGAGAGTATTTGAAAGACTTTGACCGCTTATATAGCTCATGAGCATCAATTTGTGACAAAATATAGTAAAATAGTGAGAAAACATTGAAAAATGCGAACATATGGTAGCCAGGGACATACAAAGCTCCAGAGACTATGTGTATAATGTTTCTGCAATATATGTGAGTATACACAACTGCTATTGCAGGGGTTTTATATGTTTTACAACAGTCTCTCAGAAAAACAATCATGACCGCTTTTTTCTTGTTTTTATGTATCTTAACACATAGTATATGGTCCCTTTTGCTTATATATCATTTCTATACACTATATATTGTTTCTGAACGCAGTCCTGCAGCTGTAGAACACCATATATTTGATGTAATGTGAACAGGGGTGATTTGAGGAGAACTGTGTTCTGGGAGGTAAATATGTCATATATCAAAGATCTGAAACTTGGAGCACATATAATACAATGGTATAATACTAGAACTACAAGCTCAAGCTGCCGGACCTTGGGCTAAGTGCTGTGGAAGCAAAGTACATGATGGAGATGCGTGGGAAAGTATGTGAAACATATGGTTGAAACATTAAAACATACCATAGCACACCACACAAGACTTTCTGGGGTCTAATATATGTATGGTGTGATAGAGGGACATCGTAATGACTATCCAGCATGGTTTTGAAGTGTTGCAGGTCTAGCTTGCAGATATATGTGGTGTTTTCACATTTGATGGCTATAGGCTACAGTGTTCATACAGCAGTCCACACCTAATTTCAAGTTTTTGGTGTCTAGGCCTATACATTGCCTTACAACACTTCAAAACCATACTAGATAGTCATTACGATGTCCCTCTATCACACCATACATATATTAGACCCCAGAAAGTCTTGTGTGGTGTGCTATGGTATGTTTTAATGTTTCAACCATATGTTTCACATACTTTCCCACGCATCTCCATCATGTACTTTGCTTCCACAGCACTTAGCCCAAGGTCCGGCAGCTTGAGCTTGTAGTTCTAGTATTATACCATTGTATTATATGTGCTCCAAGTTTCAGATCTTTGATATATGACATATTTACCTCCCAGAACACAGTTCTCCTCAAATCACCCCTGTTCACATTACATCAAATATATGGTGTTCTACAGCTGCAGGACTGCGTTCAGAAACAATATATAGTGTATAGAAATGATATATAAGCAAAAGGGACCATATACTATGTGTTAAGATACATAAAAACAAGAAAAAAGCGGTCATGATTGTTTTTCTGAGAGACTGTTGTAAAACATATAAAACCCCTGCAATAGCAGTTGTGTATACTCACATATATTGCAGAAACATTATACACATAGTCTCTGGAGCTTTGTATGTCCCTGGCTACCATATGTTCGCATTTTTCAATGTTTTCTCACTATTTTACTATATTTTGTCACAAATTGATGCTCATGAGCTATATAAGCGGTCAAAGTCTTTCAAATACTCTCTATTACATATTATAAATCATAATAGACTGAAGGATACACCCTAGAGGCATGTATATTTTCGCTTTTTCTGTTGTATATGAGGTATAAAGTACTATGGCTACTTGTCATGAATGTTACCAACTGCATCTAAATTTCGATTATCAAACCCTAAGTCACCTTATCCGATAAGATTAGATTAGATAGATCCCTGATAAGATAAGATGGATAACCAATTAACGATCACTATCTTTACATCACATCTATACTACATCGACGTCATCCATCTATATCTGTAACCCTAGACATCCGACGCACATCACCTCCTTAGAAGTCCTACGATTAGGCAACGGGTTACATCATAAGCATCTACACGCCTCTATGATCAAACCATAACCGAGAGTCCTTACGAGTCATCTCTCAAAGAGTCATCCCTTCATATCGCAGACCTTCACTTCCCACACATGACATGTTAAGAGTTACCTATGTCATTCACCGAACCCCTTACATTAGAACCTGTTGTACAGTCACAGCTACACCCCTGAACCCCTATCACAGAAGCACCGCTCATAGAGAAGCATGCTCATTACCGAAGACCCTGGAGAACCCTAGATACGATCGCACCCGATAACATCTCCAGATCCCATCTTCATATCGAGATCCTTAATCACCGCTCGAGACTTCTTGTCACAGAACTCTCTCACCCTTCTTCATATCCGTTTACCCTGAATAGAAGCAGAACCCTGAGAACCCTGCTTAATCACCGTACCCCTAACCCCTATGAACCCTTTACCCTTTTCTCCTTGTAGTTGATTGGTTGATAAGACGCCCTGAACCCTAGGCGCAATTTTATGATCTTATATAGATATATCACTACCTTTCATACTCAGATATCTCCGCTTAGAGAGTAGTATATAGTTTAGGTCATAGTCAGTAGTACTCCTTAGACTTAACCTCTTCGTTCCTACCTTGTGTAGACAGAGACGTTCACTCTCAATCTCATACTTGCTCTTATCTTGACGAGTCCTAGTGGTTGTGTGAAACCTTTACCAATCGGTGAACGTTGATCATAACACTACTATACACTCCCTCTGGTGACTGGTAGTAAATACAGTGGCCCAGTATGTTCTATGAGGCGTATCATAGCTAAAAATACATGGTATATACAAGCCTACTACACAGGGAAGAGCAGGGTGAGGCTTGGGGAGGCTAGGAAAACATCGATATTGTAGAACTTCCAAATTAGGTTATGTTTTGGGCGGTAGTACTCCGCAATTGCCGCTTTCGGGCGATAAAATAATATTATACGTATATAGCTTATATAATAGTAATGCCTTTGAGGCTTGAGTACTTGGACATTATTTTGGGCAATGTTTATTGCTGGTGTTGGGTATTTAGGTAACTAAGGCTAATAATACTTGGCGAGGCGCTTGATCGCCCAGTATAATAAGCCTGACTTATTGGGCAACCCAGGTGCTGCGAAAAAGCGTGACTGCCGGCTTCTGTGGGATGCCGATTGCACTGGAAGGGATAGTAGTTAGGACAGCATCTCAGCAGACGATTCGATCATTCACATTGGCCAGAGCTACCGCTCCAACGGCATCAAACTGGGCAGCTGTGTCATGTATATAATAGTATCCAGAAAGCTTCTCCCGATTGTGACGGTCGGTGGGGTCGAGTTCCTCACTGCATGGTGGCAAGTCGTAATCTGTAAATTTTCTTTCTTATTATGCTCTCAATTATCCATTCACCACTTCAACAGGTCATCGTGTACTCTGGAAAGACGGTGTCCGTCACCGCGACGTCAGCCCAAGCAATCTCAGGGTATACCGCTTAGTTGGTCGAGTGATTGGCATCTTCAACGACTACGACTTATCATTGACTCAAGAAGATAGTCCCAGCAGCCTCGAGCGCGCAGGGGCGATACCATTCATGGCACTGGAGCTTCTCACAAAGAAGGCAATTGAGGGCCATGTTGAGCACTTGTACCAGCACGATGCTGAATCATTCATCTGGGTCCTCACCTGGGTCTGTCTTCGGTACGAAGAAGGCAAGCTCTTGAGCACACCCAGACCACTTGACCAGTGGCTGAGAGTGGATGCCATTGGATGCCACGAGCAAAAGTCCAGCTTCTTGTCGAAGCTCACTGGTGATGACGATGATGATGATCGTCCATCGAGATCGCACCAAGGGAACTGGAAAACTGTAATGAAGTGCTTAACGGTGATCTACTCTCATTATGGCCCAGGCAGGTCGAAGAGAATCGATGATGGAGAAGTATTCCAGCTATGGCTCAAGGCCCATGTGTCGGAGCACTTGCATGGCGGAAATATTTTACCTGCGAAGTAGGGTAGGTATGCTTGCAGTTGAGGCAGTGCACCTCAGAAATATTATAATGTTTCAAACTATTTTGCAGAATGAACATCAAGCTCGGCGTCCTTGCTTATTCTACATAGCGAGCTTCCCTATCTCTCACCAGCAGATACTGGAGGAGACTCGGTGCAAATGCCACCCGATCACTGCCTCACATTCTCACCAGCGTAATTTGGTTTATGTTTTCGTCTCGTATTTTTGGGTTGATCTCGTTCCTTCGCGGTCCCTTCCCTCCCGCAATCAAAGACGCGTCCCTGACACACTCAGAGGCTCTGTCCTTGGTTTCCGGATTCGAGCTCCAAAGCAGCTCTCTCAGCTTATCAACATAGCTTTTGGCCTCCACACTATTCCGTTCTGTCCATGGCGAGATCCTCAGAATGTCCCTATGGGAATCATGCAGAGAAGGGCGTCGGAGAGGTGACCAGGGTGTTTGAGAGAAGGTCCGCTTAACTTGGCGCTTTCCGTCAGACTTCTACCCCCTAACCGTTCGCACTGCCCGTGGCTCCTCATGTTCATTGACCAATGCACGAGACACCGCAGCTGCGTGACAGCCTGAGCGTGCTGCTAAACAGAATATCGCATTTTCAGGATTTGAACAGCTCAGTGGTCAGGTTGCCGCATTAGCATTTCCGATTTTTTTGGAGACCAATGTCTCATCAAACAGCCTTGTTTAACATAACGAAATCCTGTTGTTCAACATCATTAGATGTAATAGCAGTATAGAATACGTTGAGCAAGAAACGATCATATCACCACTGTGAGGCACTCAGGACAAACCCACCGACTTCCCTGCAATCTCCACCAAGTTGAAAAAATCTCGTCCAACCAGTAAACTCGCACCCCTTCCCTCAACATACTCCAGAGCCTTATTCAACAGAGCATCCAGTAAATCTGGCTCTGAACCCAGATGACGTTTCAGGTACGCCACAGCGACTGCAGTCGCCCATATATTCCCGTCGACATTTAGTTCTGCCGCCTTAGCCAGTGTGTCCACGCCCACAAGCTCCCCTAATCGAGGCGACGGCGTGAATGAGCCGTCGGCGCTCTGTAGCGATATGAGAGTGTACATTTTTTCGGGCACGGGTGGTGGGGCAGGGATGGGGGTTCTTCCCGGGCGAGCTGTATTTCCCGATTGCTGTGCTCCTGGTGGCGCATTCTTTATGGGACCAAAGACTGGCGATGAAACGCGCACGATTGGATCTTCTGGGGGAGGTACGGGGCTGGAAGACCGAGAGTAGGTCCATCGGGAACTAGTAGAAGAGCCTTCCAATGAACTGAGTGTAGAGAACGTGTCCGTGCTCGAGTTGTCGTGTTGGAATGAATGTTCACTTTGACTTAATGGCGAGCCCGAGCGGGATGGTGCAGCAGAATAATATGTGCCAGGAAGTGGTCCCTGGCGTCTTCGGGTTGTCGGGGGAGTATCTGGAAAGAAGAAGCTGAACACCGCAGAAACCGCCTGAGACAAGCTGTCCAAAACGGTCTGCACGGTGGACATGTCTGTTTTTGAAGCATCCTCATCAACAACGTCTACAGTGGCACCAGCATTTCCATGTTGTCGCCGAGACCTTTGCCATGACGTTGAGCGGCGCAGCCGGCTCCTTGCTGTCTCCCGTCCGGATTCTACAGCAACGAAGGACGTGTGCTGGCTCACAAGTTGGTGCTCAAGTCCTAAGCGAACTATCGCCGCTTTTCGAACTTCCTCATCCGAGGCAGGTGCCATAGGTTTGGGAAGTGGTGCCCTACCCTCTGCCAAGTGCTTCATCAGTTCTCGTGCCGCCAAAGTATGCAGGAGTGGTATGGATGACCACTCGTCCTTGAATGGTTTGACTGCTGTGACAGGCACCACGAGTTCGAGAACCTCTGCCGAACCTTTAACCTTGGCATGCAACCTGACTTCAGGAGGAACCGATCTAAAAGTGGTGATCGCAAAGACATTGAAGCGCATCCCGGGGAATATCTTCGTGATTGTATGCGGAACCTGCTGCATAGGAGGAGGAGGCTCCAGCTGCACGACGCTAGGCGGAAGCGGGTGATGGCGACTCGAGGGTGAGAAGTTGACGGTTGGCGGAGTTCCCAAACCGTGCCAATCAACTGTGACACTCTCGATCACGCGTGTCCGACCAGCGTTCAGAAGCCTTGCACACTTTCCTGTGATGTCCTCGACTTGAACGGCGAACAGACATTCACCCCCGCCTTCGCGGGCAAGGCGCTCACACATGGCCGAAGAGACACTTGCACCAATCCCGAGAGTAAATACTCTCAATTGTGCGTTGGGCCTGCAGTTATTCACAGCCGTGGAGACGACCGTGAATGGGTCAAGGTTTGCGGAAGACTAGTTCATCATCAGATCGAGCAGAGTTACAGCCCATTTATCAGACGCACATGTATGTCCCCGTCAGTGAGGACGAACATCGCAGTCGGGCGATCGTGGTTACGTGAAGCAATAGCGAATTGTAGGGCCTTCGCAATTTCTGTCCCTCCATAGTTGGCTTGCATAACTTGTATATTCGAGATCTGTGCATGCCAGTTATTGGTTGGTCACTGGACAGTGATAGAACTCGATTACCGCACTGATGCATTGTCGACTGATCGAACGACACACTTTGTCCCCACAGACCATCAACCTCGTTCCCGAAGCTGAAGATATTGAAAGTTGTTTGTGAATCGGGCAATAGGTGAAGAAGCATTTCCAGCGTGCGCTTAGCAGTGTCCATTGGGGCTCCCCTCATGCTTCCGCTGCGATCAATAACGAAGATGTACTCTTGCGAAGCTACGCGAGGCATCTTGAACTTCGGTACAAATGAGAGCTGCATAGCAATTGTATCCGCATGCTGGGGATCGACTTCTGCGAAACACCGAGGCTTGTCGAGTCCAAGAGCATGCACCGTCAGCACGAAGTCTTCTTGTAGGAATGTCGCAGACGACCATGTTACCGACATCCGTCGTTCAGACTTTCTTCCGGTACGGGTCTTATAACGCATGCGAGTGATCGTCGGGTGAGTAGGGCTGCGTATATCCTGTATCTTATCACTAGTTTGAACGTCCACAGCGATTTTAACACGCGTGCTTTCATCAACTGTAGATGTATCGAGCATGGCTGCTGGTGTCTCGCCGTATCGTTCAGCAATAGCCATTGGAAGCTGTAGACGGACATGGTCTTGTCTCCCCTCGTCCAAAAGATCCATTACAAACTGTTCGTTCATCAGACCAAGTATTTGTAATGATCTGAAAGCGACACGTACAGTCAACCTTGCTGTAACCTTCTGCTTAGCGGGAATCGAACCAATTGAGATCGTGAATACTGGATCAAAAGTCAAGGTCAGCACTCGCCAAGATCGTCACAATGTGCTTCTCATACTGTCGTCCGTCGCCCATTCTACAAGCCCTGCAGTCATTCCGGCATCCAATGCACTCTGGAAGGCCTCTGCGGCTTCTGACTTCTCCTTCGCGACACCGACTATAACCCGACCATCGTCATGTTCGAGTTCAAAAGCGCAAGTGGCAGCACTCGCTGGAAGAGGGAATACATATTTGGCCCGGCTGGTAGGGTTTTCTGATACATTCTCGAATACTTGTGAGAGCACCACCCTCGCCGAAACTAGTACAGGAAAAGATTGATTAGTGGCGATTTCGACCGTGCCGCCACTTATATACGCACCGTCAACCATCCATACTCTCACATCGACCTCTTGGAGGGGTAAATGCAGAAGACGTTGGTCCGGGGAGCGATGCACGATTCCTGCGTATCTGCTCATACTAGTAGTGTCGAGATAAGGTGGAGATATCGCCCACACATCCCTGGACGTTTTATAATTGGAGTTTGACGCCCAGACTTCCTGTGCTGTAAGAGAAGTGGCAAACGATTTCAGATCCTTTGGATGTGTCAACAGGAATAAGGCTATAAGACCCTGTGCTGCAGTCCTGTCACGTTCAATTTCCTGTGATGAACTGCCAACTCCCAAGAACTTCGAAGCAGCCAAGGAAACTCGAGGACTGGTTGAATGGTATGCATTTCAAATGATTGCGTGGCGTCCGATTCAGATAGTGCTGAGAATAGCCGAGAATCACCGTAACGTGGACTGTCTGCTAATCCTTTAGAAGACTCGTATGTACCCACAAGTCAAAGACGTTGATATTTGTGTGCAAGAAGGTACTGGTTGACCGATCACCGGCAACAGGCACACCAAATTGGAGTCAGCCCCCGGGCCGCGGCCGGATCATCTCCTGCAGACCTTCGGCTTTCCTTCAAGTTTCAAGCGCATAATTCCATGTGCTATAGTATGCAAAGGTAACGCCTGACAGCAACATCACGACTCCCCAGATACATTCCTTTCAACGTCAAATTTCGAGTCTGGACTAGCAGGACTCAAAGGACCTAACTCATATTCCAGGGCTCGCACCGATGGGGAGGTTATAATCGGTCCTATGAAGTCACTACTTGCCACCAATCCGTGAGAGCCCTTATTATACTCTCGAAAGTTGATCACCAAACGAGGAGCAAGAACATAAGGCTCAATCGCGCAGAACAATTCGGCTAATGATGTGCACACCGCCTTCAAATATGAAATAGTCAGATCCCGCCAGCGGTCTGTAGAATACACCTAGCACTCACTGGTATGTTTGCGAGAGGAATGAGATTCAGTACCCTGTATGCAAGATTTCTGGGGTTGATAGTTACTTCGAGGCTTCAACATGCAGCGAAATGTCTCACAATACGAAGTATAGAACGCTGTCGCGCACTATCATCTTCATGCATTGGTTCATTCTCCACCTGCCTGTCGCTTCGTTCATCTGTATTGTATGCTTGACCAGGCGAGTTATAGCGAGAACGACGAGAAGCGCATCAAAGAAAACTGAGGGAATGGATGCATATACAAAGAACATCGGATCGGCGCCCAGCGCATCCAAGCAGAAGTTCGTGTTAAGGACATTGAACTGTGCAACTATGTTGCTGGAGTCAGCATCAACATGAAAGTAGCGTACAAAATCGCACGCACTGATCAGCCCACTGTGTGGACCATAATATCTGATGCCTATTGCTAATGCCAGAGCCATGACTGACAGAAATAGAACCAGTAGAACCCCCAATATCAATCTCGACTGGCCATACATCGCATATATTCGTAGGATCATGATGCCTGCAGAATTTTCAGGTCAGAGAATATGTTGCACAAGAAACACAATTGCATACCTTCCATTGCAATTATAAACAGGTAGTTACCCCAGTTCAGGAGTTGTAGTGTCCACAAGCCTAGATATACGCAGTGTAGTGTCTAGTTCTCAATTATAGCCTTGCGACGCACAACTAATCGACAATTAGTACACCGTTGAATAGATTCTTAGACAAAACGCACGTTTCGGAGCTCATGTTGACGACTCCTCCCCCTTGGACATTGTGAAACCCCGGTATCATCGATCGAGGAATGTGGAGCTTACAGAATGAATCAATCCTGCACTGGTATGAGAGGAGCTGACACTTGAGAGGGAAAACACGGACATTGCAAGCGCCAGACCAAGATATCGCACCTGATTAAATTGACGTTGTTATCAGAAGAGCGCTCAAAATCAGCAAATGAGCAGACATACCACGACATAAAGTGAGGACATCAGAGTCCAAGAACGCTTCTAAAGCAGGCGCATCATAAGTGAGTATGTAGTGGAGAAACGTCCTCCCGACGACTTACCCATACTAGATCAACCTATGACAGTGTGATCAGCCCGTAATAGAGTCATATTTACCAGAAGTTACCTCGCGTCCAAGCAGGAGCACTGTCGAATAGTCAATGACAATAAAAGGCTCATGACTCCTCACTTACAGAAGTCATATGTGACGACAACAGAAGCAGTGACTGAGCTCTTAATTAGTTCACCTGCAGAGGTAAAAACGAAGGAATTCCTGACGAGAAAGATAGTCACTGAGTTGAAGATTAGCGACATCCGGCTGTGCCAAGGACATCGAATCCTTGATGTGGGTGCCGAGGGCAAATCAATTGAACTCCCGGCTGCTGCGTATAAGAACTTCATATGGTGGCGCAATAATTCCAGCGCGTGGATTTCTAGAATATCAGCTGTGAGAGCTCACCCACTATAGTTGGTATCTCGATCGACACTGTGCGGGTGCTCATGTTGTTCGGTGCTTGTGCCAGTGTTGAGACAGAGCAGTGAACACCTACAACACCGGGATCTGCAAAACAAGAAGTTAAATGTTAAAACACGCGCTTGTAATTAGTCTGTCGCCGATAAGAAAACTCCCACATGCCTTATTGATGGCAATGACCTGTCCAACCCGCAACATGATACGGGGCATGTGGAGCTCTGTGTGAGAGACGTATTCAGATGGAGTACAGCCAAATGCGCGGTATCCATAAAATTAAGCGCTAGATAGACCTAACAAGTCGATAAAGCCTGAAGTACGAGACTAGAGTTTCCTAAGAAATATACAAGCAAAAGTGCGACATATGTCAACGTCTATCTTGACTCGTCAAAATTCACGCACTCACCGAGTCGTGGTTGCGGTCCCACGAATACATGGGAGCTGAACAATCGAACTGGGAGATCCACGACCACTTGACCTCCTCTAATACCCAACTTATCGACCATGCTGATTGGAGGTAAATTCCAATTGTAATCTAAGAATGTGTACTGGATACGCATTCGCAGTCGATATGAAGACGTGCCAGGCTGGTCTCGCCCTACACAGAAACTCACGCGGCTTTGAGGATGCTCGTAGCGACTTTCTTGTACTTGACGAGGGACCTAGCAATGTAAGCATTGGTGTATGTAGTTGGAGAGAAGCACCACTGAGCGCGAAAAGTTGACGGCGTTTTTGCTATTGAGTCGAAAGCTAGTATGACCTCGCGGATGGTGATACATTTTCCTGTGTATCCGCTCACATACCCGGATGCTCTGTAATGGAACATGAGATGCCAACGCCTCGTAGCATGATCTCTTCGGAGCGTCGAAAATACAGCCACAGCACTTCAAGGTTGTGACACCTTTTGACGTGGACTTATAAGGACTTGATGAATTTGATCTGGCAAAGCGTCTAAGTTTGGGATTACTCGCTGGAATTCGTCACTTGTATGAACTTGCTGGTGAAAGCAAACACATCAGATTCAGAGCTAGGACTTGGTAGGTAAAGTGTTCGCTCGAGGCCCATTTCAAACATTGCAAAACCCATATCCACCTTCTATGACGCAGCATGCGGAACAAGTGCAATCTTCATATGAAGTGATTGTGTAGTGAGGCCCACAAATAAACAAAAACTGGAGTCCGTTGTTATGATCTGCGAGCGATCCACACTCCGTGCTGCCTGCGAGCAGCCGTAAGCATACGATCTGAGGCCCGCACGTCCAGAACTCGCTAGACTGCAAAGTACTCACCAGCGTGGGCGCAGGGTCGGCCGATGATTTGTGCGGTAGCTGTGATAGCGATTACTGTGGCATATACGATCATAGTGGTGAGTGAGATGAATTTCATAGGTGCAATTCAGGAAAGGGCTAAGGCCTGATGGTGTTTTTGATATTGAATCGAAATATACAATCTTCGGTTTTATACGCGGGTAGCAAAAAAGGTTCATCATTTTCGTGTATCCGCTTATAGATGCTCACCCTCGTGAGCATGATCTCTTCAAAGCGTCAAATTACAGTCATAGCGCCCCAAGGTTGTGGTACCTCTTGACGTGGACCTATAAGATCTTGATGATGTTGAGTTGGCAAAGCGCCTTGGGAAGATCACTCACCGAATTCATGGCTGAGGCTAGCGCATACAGCCCGGCACTGAGTATCTTCATATTGAAATGCGGGGAGTAAATGTCTTACTAGGCGAAAGTCTGCGTCGTCCGTCCGGGAAAAAGAATTCAAAAAGTTTAGTGTTAGCGCCTCGGTTCTTCGGCGAGCTCACTAGATTATTCACGCCCTGCCTATTCACCCTCCGTGAGCGCGGAGTCATCTGCGACATCCGTCGCCCCATTCGCATGGTTGGTCCCAATCGCATTTGCCTGTAGAATCCTCCACATCGACCAGAAGAATCCAATGCCAGAGAGGACTAGGCAGACAGCTCGCGACTGGCATGGGACGGGCCGCGCGTGCTATGAGGTGTCACTAGCAGAACAAGTTAGAGCACGCCGGGCTTGAAGATAGCAATCGCACTTACTTTGTCTTCCCTATATAGACCATCCCGACTCCCTTCTTATTAGATGGTCTGGTTCCTAAAGAGACCTAGTCACGATACCGTAGTGGGTCTTCTTATAGTGATATTGATAGACCATTGACACGGTCACTGGCAGAAGAACCGTGAGTCTGGACTCTGCGGCGTACTTCAATGACTTCCAACTCTCTCTATTTGCTTGATGTTGTTGTCACCGTCCTGGCACACTTCAGCGACTGCCACCTCGTCCACGCTAGTGCTATCCTGCGGGAGCAACGCTCTGATGGGATCTTGTCCAGGAAACTGCCAGGCTCAACGCTTGGAGTCTTTGACTGGTAGTAGAAACTCGAATTTTCATTTTCTGCTTATGTCATGCATGCAAACCTTCATTGGGCCTCCACATCCATCTTCAAAATACCTGGGCTCTTGCTCGAGCATTTCTATTCAACATCCCGATGTTGAGGCCAGGAGCCAGCCTTCTGGGCAAATTATAGAGATCAGCCGCTGCTCTAATCATATGACTTGAGTGTTGAAGGCTCTTCCTTTTTTCAAGGTCTGGCATGGGGAGACTAGCTTTGGCGGCGCGCCACCTCCATATTTCCGCAGAGTTTGCTGTCTTCACAGGGAAGTGACAATTTATCATGCAAAATATATATCGAGGAACTGGACACTGTCATCTAATAAGACAACACACGTGGTACACGAACTGACAAGAGAGGCGACTATTTGGTGTCACAGCATTTCGAGAGAGGGTCCTTAGCGCTATCGAACGAGCTGAAACCCTGAAATACCCTTCAAGCGAATACAAGAACATCGTAGCTTTCCGCGACGAGTCCGGTGCCACCATATGGGATATTAGCTGCAAGAGAGGGCGATTAAAACAAAGCTCGAGGAGCACCAAGCATCGACTGACCATAGCCATCGTATTTGACGTCGCCACAATGGACACCTCCCTCCAAAGACGCTCGCGCGATTAAAAGGGGTTCTCCATTCTCCTCTTTTCCTCCACTGTATGACCAGACATGGTGTTAGCGAAGATAAGACATTCATTTGCAAGGTAGACCCACCGCACGGGGACAGCGCCGTCCAATTTCTCGTAAGAGAATTGGCCGTCAACGTGAACCCAGCGAACCGAATTCGGATCTCCCACGAGACGTTCAAATTCGCCAGTGATCTGACAAGGAACTTGTGACAAAGCGCAGGTCAAGATGCTAGAGCAAACATACGATGACTTCTTCGCCATTGTAGCTGATCCACATATATTCCGAAGAAGCTTTTCCTGGATCTTGTGTGAGAGAAAGGTGAATACTTTGGCGAACGTGCCAGCATCGGAACTTACAAAGACCACCCTAGAAAGTTGCCCACCGTAAGACAGACTGCTCGAACGCCAGGATATATTTAGCTCACCGCATACGGAGCACGTGCAACATAGAGGGGGTCGTCGTTTATCTCATGACCTCCTTGAATAGCTGTAGGGGGTATTAAGCCCCGGAAACCAACAGTCTTACGTGCGATGTGTCAACATCCCAAGAATGGGAGAAGAATAGGATAATAAGGCCTCTTACCCAGTAGACCGGAGACCGAATGATGTCGCCTGGGTTCTCGAAGATAGGAGGTTCTGGATCGCCAAGTACCGGCTCCTTGTTCCAGTTGGCCATGCAAAACGCCTCGAAGAAGTTCAAACCAGGATAGTTCGGACCGAATGTCGGACCGAATGACTGCTGAATTAGGCTGGTGGTGGTCATATAGTCCGGGGACTTCAATGCCTGAGGAGAGAAGTTGAGACTTTGGTGGAATGTGGGGGTCCTGGTGATCTGTCCGCTCTCGAGACGGGTCTCGTGACCGACCGCCATGCGCTCTGCGTAGGAGCTGTCAATGTACGCGTTGTGGGGCTGAGAAGTTCCCCAGGGTTCGGGGTTCGGCTGCCTGGTCGATCGCAAGTATACGAGGTCTAGCTCGATGAAAGATGTGATTTCACCCTACAGGCCAATGAACAACTAGAACATCATGCGCCAATAAAAGAACTTCACGCACCGCCATCCAGAAAAGAGCAATGTCTTGAAGTTCACGACGCAGATAACCACCACCTACGTCAGAGTGGGCTCCTGGGAACCAGAACTGCAATGATCTCAGCGCTGAAGCTAGGAGTGACTGCACATAGATGTATTCACCTGTTTCAGAACTTGATTGTGGGCCAATCCACCTTGAGGCACGGTCCACAAAGTAGGCAGGAATTTCTGTCTATTCTCCTGGAGCGAAACTGCATGAAGTGCGATCTCGACTGATTTAGGAAGACTCGTATCCTTGATCTCGAGCGCATCGATGGTGTTGTAAACCGACCCGACCGTATCCCACACACCTACGCACCTTTCCAGCAATTGAGCAAGGAATCGAAAGACATAATCTCAGGGATTCTTACTTGATTTTTGGACGCCGGGTGCCATCTGGGATGGTAGGAGTCTCCTTGTCCACAAGTTGACGCCAAATCAAGAAGAACTTTCCAAGATTGTCTCGTGTCAGCAACCCAATGAGATCCTACAACATTCGTATAATGAGGGAAGAATTTAGTGATGATCGGGATTACTCACAATCAACCCAGCCAGCTTTCTCGCCGTGTAGGCCCCTCTGAACGGCCATCTTGCAGGTTAAAGACAGGTCTCGCGAGAAATGGGGCAAACATCACCTGGAAAACCTAGCGAATGATAAATCAGAGTGTGTGAGACCAAATCCAAAACCAATACTCACCCGAAGATACAGATCTCATCTCCCTCTTGGTAATTCTGAGCGATGAACGCATATGCGTCACGGATCTTGCTTGCTGGAAAGCAGGATACCCATTAGAGTCTCGCTATCCCGGAAGAAACAGCGGACTCACCGACTGCGGTACCCAGTGCCTCTGAGCCATACAATGATTCCATAAGTTCAGGAACCCTCCCAACTGCAGACTACTCACGCAATACCGTCGTCCCTCTAACAGGATCTCCCTTGAAATTGGCCTCTGAACCGACTCCGGATTGATAAAAGACGATCTGCCTCCTGCCGTCGCTACACAGATGTCAGATATGTTGTCGGAGAGGTATCAGCTGGGTACTCACGCAGTGTGAGATTTGACGGATCGTGCTTTGAGTTATTGGATCGTCAGGTTATACCATGAAACAACAATGACGACTCACAAAGGCGGACAACATTCGTTGGTAACTGCGGGTTCTCGCCTCCACCGACAGCTAGTATGCACTACCTGAGTAGATATTGTGGGGATACAAAGGATTTTCTTACGTGGTTCTGACAAGATTCTCTCTGGGACATCTGCAGTTCGATGCAGGAAATCAGCTCCTGACGGGAATGGTGGATAGAAATTTGCTGACCAGAATTCTCAAAAACGGTTTCCACTTCGCCTCCAATGGCCTGAGCAATGGGATCTGGTGCTCGATTCGTTAGACAGTGTCAAGGACTGGAATACTCTCCTTACTGAACTGCGACAGGCTTCCGTCCATGCCGGTCCCATCACAGAAGATCAATAACGTCTTTGCAGTCATTTTGCTGGTGAAGGTCAAGATAATATACGTTGAGTTAATGTGAGTTGCGATAGCTGCTCTGTTGATAAGAATCAGACCATCTGTTACTTGGACTTCATATACTGTGAGATTGAGCAAGAACGGTGTTCTGCATGATACAAGACCAACACTAGGAGGTGAGAGTTAGTTATGCGCCGGGCCTGGCTTGCTCTGAAAGGGGCCTGGCGTCAGAGGACTCGAGCCTTGTCAAACCTCGGGCCCTAACTGGCCCGTTCACTGGCCCTGGGCTTTCTGGGGTTTTCTGCTGCTTTTGGATATGGTACACCCTCGGTTAGAAACTTGGCAAGGGGAAAATTACAACACCCATTACCTTGCTGAACCTGTGCCCGTCCCCTATTCCACGTCAAATTAGCTCATGACATGAAAACAGGGCCGTAAATCACGCGATGGGATTAAGGTGGCCCATACAGTTGTCAACAGCGTTACGAGTTCGAACGGCCAGCCGATGCACATACCTTACGCAGTTGTGCTGTGGAAACATAAACATCAAGCACTGACCACGCGCCCAAAACAGCGAGGTGCCTCGACGGCAGGTAGGGAAACACCGTCAGGAACAGCATGGAGTTCTGACAGAGGAACGTTTGACTGACGCTTCTCGCTGTGTTCTCAATACGCTATACTATTTGCGAAGTCATCGTAGTCATAGCTCACGCAGCACAAAGTACTTACATCCAGGTGTCTGGTTACGCATCGAGGCATACCATCAGCCCCACACCTGTGTATATGGCTGCCGTGCGAATTGAAGTATTCTCGGCTAGCGGCGTGCCTCCTTAGCAAACCTTGCCGTGCTACATGGTATTCAGCGGGGATCAGGGGTTCGTTCATAACAAGAAAGGCCAGAACTACGATAATTCAGTTCCAAGTTAGCATTCAAGGTCCACGACCAGGAGTAAAACACACCGCGAATGTGAGAGACCTGGCGAGATACGGCTTCGGTATCAACGGGTGTTCCCTAGTCCTGAGACTAACGTGGGGAGGCACCCCTGGGCCTGATTTTTTTTTTACCATCTTATGAAAATGAAGTACACTCCAACCAACATTCATGTGTCGATTGCATGTGCGTGACCGAAGTGGATTGCAACCAAGGCCGCGAAGTCTGGGTATTGTGATTTGCGAGGAGATGGATCCAACCCCTGTCTTCGAAAATTGTTCAGCGTGAGCAGGTTGCACAATACTTGGGCCCATTCCACACAATCCCAACGCTCGCTTCCATTCCCCGGAAATACACGGACGACAGAAAAGCGAAACTTCGTTATGGCATTGCAGCCATACGCCCACCATATGTGTGGACCTGGATCGGAGGAGCTGATACCCCGGACCCTGGTAACTTGTATTGTATCCTTACGTTGGGAATCGTGTAATGACGTGGCTAACAAGTGGTCCGTAGTTGAGATTGATATCACTACGTCCTGTAGACCCCTCCGATTAGCAGGGTGCTCTGCTGAACATACTGGGTTACATGAAGATACACAGAACTCGACGATGAGCACGCGCTCCGCGGCCTAAAATTGATTGAGGTACTTGTGAGATTACTTACCTTTTTCCGGTGAGCGCTCTTGCGCCCTTGGCTTGAGAATGACGGGGTGCTTCAGTAACAAACCCCCGATTGGTAGTGGCAAAACCTGACCGTTGGGTCCCATTGAACCTGGCAAAGCCAGCGGCCCGAAAAAGAACCCAAGTAATATGTTGCAGCAGGTCCTGCTGGTCAAACTGGCACTGAGAGATTGGCATTTGCAGCGACACATCTCAACTATGAATATGTTCGACTGTTTATGTAACCTCTTCCTATTGAGAGGTACAATGAAATCCTTGATTCATACGAAGTATCAATTAATACGTACATAGATCTGCTGCATCGTCTTGTACTCTAGGTGGAAGACTTCCGCAAGTAAAACCAGCGTTGCAAGGCCCACAACGACACACGCGACCATCACATTCTGCCCAGCCAGTTCAGACGAGACTCCAAGTGACTGATCCGAGCGCACGGACAATTGGATGCGGATATGAGAGCGCCGCCATGACCTTGGTGAAACATCCATAGTACGTGCATCATGGAGTCTGCGACGTCGTTGTATTTGTAGTGTTGTTGGCAATACTGCGCCATTGCGCCGCGCCAGTTTTGTCACCCTGGCAATTGCCGGCGAACTCAGAGGGGTCCGTGGCAAAACTTGGCACATCTAGTAGTAGGTAGAGGCCGACTCGGACATATTTTCTTCACAGATCCGCCATCAATCTGCCGCTCAGATCAGTAATACTAAGTCTATCCCTATGTTTTTACCATGTGTTGAACTGTATTGTTTGTACCATCCTGTCGTCCATACTCCCTGGACTTCGGGCATCTTAAAATGTCTGACGAAAAGCATCCTGGTGGCCGCCCACCAGCCAGAATCGTCGCCGATAACTTCACGGAACTTGAACGAGTCAATAACAAGTCTCGCCGAAAATTCTGGAAGTGCAACTATTGCACTCCAACCAGTGGCAGTGGTCACACAACGTCTTAATGCAGAAAGGTACTGCAATTGGCTAGACAGAAGCACCGCTTTTCCGTGACACACCAGCTTCGGATGTAGCTGAAACAAACAGTAATTCTCAATCTGACGTTGGGACAAGCACCGTGACTGTCATCAAAAAACGGAAGGCTGGCGTCTCGGCAAATGATGCGTCTTCAAATTGAAGATGGCGAGGACATTGGTTTTTGGATGCACGCCAAAGCTGTCTTCAATCGTGAATTTCACACCATGAACACCAATATTCACGCTCTTGCCCTTTTCTTGCATCCGAGACGAAAAAATGCATGCACACATGCACACTCAGAACAATGGTAGCATTGACACGGACCTGGCGACAGATCTCAATGCAAATTTCACATGGACACCTCCACTGGCAAGCCGAAGCCAGGTTGACGACGAGCTGGAGGGGCCGGAAAGCTTAACGGAGGATGAGGTTGCAGCTGCCTTTGACGAGATCGAGCAATGCATTGCGGAATTCCCATCAGCTATTGATCCCCAGCTGGAAGGGTACGAGATCTTGGCGGGAAAGGTGTACGACATCGCCGAGCTGGAACAGGTTGACAAAGGAATTGTCCCCGCAGCTTTCGAAGATAATGTTCAGCAGGTGGGATCTGACTCGGAGGATGGTTTGTCTTGGGATGTGCAGTCTCTGTTGACTATGAAGGGTGTCTCGTCAATGTAATAATCAGTAGTATTATGCAACGTTGATGCAATGTGTCTGGGAGTTTTGCCAAGTTTTGCCAGTGCGCCAAGTGCCAGTTGTGCCGGCACTTGGTCGCAACTCAGCCCAAAGTAGTTTTGCCCCCTACACTATGTATTTGCCAGAATCCATATACTTCAAGGAGGCTTGATATGGTAGTTATTACGGGCTGTTTACATGCCCGCCCCAGGCAGTCTGCGCCGGTACGTGGTTTGAGGTGAGGAATCAAATTTCCCATCAAATTCGTCTGGTTCTCTGAATCGGCAACGGAATGTGCGGAGCTGCATGAGGCGGATCATGGTATGGATGCAGAGCTGGATAATGGAGGAAGTCGGTTCATGTGTCCCCTTGGGTCTTGAAAGGTTCGTTCAATTTGCTTCGGTGGAATCTCGACGCGGTGAATCTAACGATATCAGGCGTGTTCACATGAACCAAGCATGCACAAATAAATGCGGGCGTCAAGCTCAGTGTGAACAACCGCACGGCATACTGCTATATTTGGTTCACACCTCCTCACCTCTTCGTGGAACAGCCTCATTGGTCTTAACACTCGAAATCGCACACCGCATGCGTATCGAAAGTACGCAACGAACCTGGGACGTCGATATTAGTATCTTGTATCAATACTATTGTGAATCGCCTTTGCGTCGTGCCAACCAAGCTGAATCCTTCACTCGACTAGAACTTCCCCGGCGACTGATGCTCGATCTCGCTGACACCCCAGATGGGAACATCATTTCTTCAACCTCCGCATTTCGTCCCTCTCACCCTCTACAGGCATCACGATTATGATGCACCCCGACACTCAATTCTGCATCGCCACATCTTGTAACTGGCACCTATGATGGCATTGCACGGCGGTGGGATCTACGGAGCCCGAAAAGCACTGTGACCAGCTTCAGGGTGTGATGGGATGGAAGTGCTTACCGTGGGTTGGCTTGGGGATATGGTGGGTATTGAAGGCGAGGGTGAGATTGATGTATGGAGAATCGCTGGATGATCTTACGTTCGGCACAAATCCAGTGCGTCTGCGTGAAAGGTGAGAGCTACAGATACGAGCCTCAGTCGCGGGTAATGAGACTGAGTACAGGTAGTATAAACCTATAGATACGAGCCTAAGGCAATAGTAAGTAAGTGACGTGCATAACGAGTACGAATAAGATATACATACCTCAGTCGCGGGTAATGAGACTGAGGTGTGTGGGCAGCGAGCTAAGACCTTAAATATGTAACAGCAGCAAAGGGGAATAAAAATACCGCAGTGTCTAGGAATTATATATAATGTCCTTTGTCGAGTATCGGATGATCTGACGGATCACCCTCGAGTCTTGACAGTCTAAAGTTGGGTCAAGTCTCCAAGTTTGGTCGAACACCTCGATATCCAGAAAACACTCGGAGTCGCGTGTACTCTGTCGTTCATACAAGAGAAACATTTTTTGCATTCTAAATAGCCACGAGTGTGTAGAATTGCCGCCATGAGCCAAGAAAAATATGTTCTTCATCCCCCTGTGGCCTCGGGGCGTGGGTCATCCAACCTCGCAGCTTTCGCCAGCTGAAGCAAAGTAGTTGGTACAGTGTCGAAGTCTGAAAGGTCCGCAGGTGCACGGTCGAGTCCAGAGCACCTCAGTGAAAGGAAGTAATAGAAGGGAAGGTAAATCGGTTGTACTGAAAATCAGAATCAAAATTGTCGTACAGTCATGCAGAAATGTAACTCGTATTACAGCAAAGAGAAAACTGGGTATCATGTAAAGACGGAGACGTGAGGAAGATATATAGTATCCGGAAATGTTGGAGATGTAGACCACTGACTGAGTAGATCAGTCTAAAGTATAGCCAAGGCAAAAATTGTAACAGCTGGAAAGTGCGGTGCGTGGCTACTATGAGATGACGACATCTGCGCGGCAGACAGCACGAAGATGTCTCATTAGATGGCGTGGCTGGCCGTGCGCACCATCACTGATGTACTTATTGTCAGCCCGACTCAACAAATATCAACTCGTGATAATTCAAGAAATACCTTTTCAAGATTGGATTCTTCTCCCGGGATGGCTGGATGAGACATGACACCAGAACCAGCATAGACGCACTCCATCTTTACATCCGGCAGCGGATGATTGCTCGTCCCTGTTTAAATTTAAGAACATTAATGCAATATCTCCGTGACCATGAAAATGGCATACCAGCATGACAATATGGTACTCCGTCCTCCTTGTGACCCCACCACATCTCATCCGACCACTCGTCCACAAGGTTGGCGAGCGTCTGGAGGTGCCCGTATGCGGCTGGCTGAGGGCCGTGTGATGGGCGCAGTGCGGCGAAAGTAAAGACACAGGCAAATATCAACAGGGCTATACATAAGTTCAAGATCTGCATGAGTGTGTGAGGATGTTGTAGTGGCTGTACACGGATAGTAAATGCAAACCTGGTTTACACGCATGTCTGCGCAGAAGTTGATTACATCAATGCCGGGAAGTGTGTCCATCCAAAAACGCAACGAGAAAGCAAGTCCGAACATCCAGTCTATCAAAGTATTCATGATATTGTTCAAGAAATTGATCGATGATATTGCGAATGACTCACGTAGCACAGGCTTCACGACGAAAAGGCCAAGACCAAGGGGATTAGTGAATAACGCCTTCAGCGGATTTGTCGACGTGCGAAGTCCTTTCTTTGTTGTAGCACATCTCCATTGCCTTTCATTCTGAATGACGTTAGCGATGAGGTCCGAGCAATGCAGCCCAAGTGTCAGTGGCCCCTGGACAACTGCTATGTCGACAAAGGACAGAATCCACAACTGAGCACTCATAATTTGATCGACGGGCATGATATTTTGGGTGAAGGCATAACTGTTGCCCTTGTCAAAAAATGACCAAGATGGGTTTTTAGGGATGTAGTTATGCTTGTACTTGACGAACACGGCCCATCCAGCGCATGCTACAACAAGCCCCCAAAGTGAAAGTACAATTTTGCGGATGCTAGTGTGAGCATTCCACGCAGAGGGCTGTGCTTCTGACGGCTTCGTTGGACCTTCAGCCACGCCTAGGTCGGATACGCCACGCATGCACCGGAAAGAAGCTGGAGTTAATTGGGTGTGGTGAAGCATGGCAGCGGTGACGTCGAAAGGTGAGGAGCTCCATGTCAATATTTTGACAGATAGCATCCCTGCCAATGTGATTGCCACCTGCAGAAAAAGTCCGATGCCCAAAACGAGGAGAGGGAACCCTGAGATCATGATGGCTCCAGCTTCGTGAAGAGGAAATATGGTGAGTGAGGCTGAGCTGTAGGATATAGTGAGGAGGACAGCCATGAGACCGTTAAGCACGGCGCCGTTAGGGTTGCACCATCCACGAGCTGCTGTGATAAGGCGCAGATTAGTGCTGAAAATAAGCCGGGACTCTGAGGCTAGGGCAGAGCGCAACGAGATGCTGTGCATGAAGCCTATGGACTCCGTGCATAACGTGACGATCAAGTTCAGTGCCAGGGTCAGCATCTCTGACTGTAGGCCGGGCTTGCTGCGTTCTATCATCAGAGGAATGACACCCTCAGTTCCTAGAGTGAGAATGATGAGAGAGCCTGCGGTGATGCAACAGCAGCTGACGATAGTCGAGCATGCCACTCCAGCAAGGGCATATCTGCGACTCATCAGACCGCGGTCATAGAAATCCGCTATGGTCTCAGCAGTGGACTTTGCGTTAGATATTATCGAGTCGAAGTCAGGGAGTGCGTCATGTACAAGAAGACTGGATGTACTCCCAGTCTTCCAACCTTGTTCTGTCAGTTTGGGAGAAGCTGTCATGAGAGGGGTCGTGGTGTAGGAGAGTGCTAGCACATTGTGACTACACTGGGGTGGATTAAATACGAACCAACGCACCTTTGACATGCCTTGTCGAGACATCGCCTCAGTAAACAGTACTTTGATAAGTACAGAATCACATCTCTGCAGCTGAGTTCATTGGAATGAAGCAATTTAGGAGAGTGCCGACATCTAGCCACAGTCAATGTTCAATGTCAATGCCAGATATGTACTAGCTCGCTGAACTTTGGTCGAACCTGTCCTGCAGGGCTTAGTATAATGTTTGCGCCCAGGCCTCAAGGCCTCATCATTTGTGGTAATATATGAAAAAACGCTTTATTCTTCATCTTCTTTACTTGTGGTTTGTATAGCGCCGGGCTACTGCCGTTAAGCGCCTCAAACTGCATGACTTGGTGGAGGCAACATTTTGATTAAGTATTTAGGCGTGACAGTCACAGGTATTACACTTACCGTTAACAATGACGTTGACATCTTCGTCCATGCCATCGTATTCACGACACAGACGCCCTATTATGAGTCCTGTCTTTGCGTTATGTGAAGCAACACTTCACGGAACGTCTCCGATCGACCAATGCTCCGACATCCAATCTCGCTGGAACCCTAGGTAGGAACATGCACCTCGAGGCCGCATCGTGTCCGTCTTCGACGACCACGTTTCGTCCCTGTCATGAGTCGTCCTCCGCGTGCCCCACGCCTCTATCCTGCATCTCCACCTCTGAACGTGGCGAGCAGCAGGTAGCAACTGGTGCCTATGATAGCGTTGTACGGCTGTGGGACCTGCAGAGCACGACGGGCACTGTGGTCAGATTCACGGTGTGGGATGGGATGGAGGTACTTGCCGTGTATTGGGTGGGGGATGTGGTGGGTATCGGGGATAAGGGCGGGATGGAGGTATGGAGAATCGCAGGGGGATCTTAGGTTTGGCACCCTAGCTGGGTTAAGTCGCCTTCGGTTTAACGCCTTGACATCCGGACACAAGGGCGTGGACCATCCACGGCCTCCTGAGCAAAACTGTTATAGCACAAGCGCAATTGTGCATGATGTCAGATGAATAGTTATCATGATTGCAGTAAGACTGCCGGAGAATTCTGCACCATATTCGGGCATAAACTCAGTGAACATGTCTCTTCGAGTCTATCTCATTGAGGGAACGGCATCCATGCACGAAAAAAAATTCGTTCTAATGGCACAGGCAGCCTCAGCCGGTAAGTCCTAGACAGTGAATGGATTGACGTAGGCAAACTAGTAAATTCGCTTCAGCCAGCATATTTTCAAAGCAGCCAGAAAGACACTATATATTGACCAGATGATGGGATGGGACTGGTTGTCTCAGACTTCAGACCGGTGTCTAGAATATTTATATCAAGCGGGGATCAGGGTGACGTCTCCTTACCTTGGGAATTGTGCCATGACAGGGCTAACGAGTTTCTGTAGCTGGGATTGATATCACGACGTTCTGTATAGCCCTCCAGTTAATAGCGCGTTCTGTTGTGCCTATTGGTAGGTGAAGTTGGTATTCAAGTTGGTGGAGACGAAAGTAAGTGGACGCCTAGATCATTGATTCGGCTTTATTTGCTCAACTGGTGTGAAAAATAGTGCGGACATATCATGGTAAAGATGACTCACGGAATTGTAAAGTGATTACAAAAGTCGTGGACGTGGCTGTTGGCACCGGCAAGACGTAGTAGTACGTGTACGGTTGCTTATGTGTGGTGACGAAGAGGAGGCTGAGGCGGGTCATGGTAGGGATGCGGAGCTATATGGTGAGGTGTTTGGTTTATGTCAAAGAGCTAGTGGCACTTGATGGATAGCTGGCCGTGTCCCCTTGGGGCTCGAAATGTTCGTTCAATGTTTTGCTTGGAAGACAGGGCATGAGCGCAAATAAAGGCGGACGCCCGGTAGACTCCAACATGCTTTCAACCTCGGGGCGAAGCCCTTCAAACTTTCATTTACCCAAGTGGAGAGGGGATCTGGCCGCGCGCGCCTTAGTGAAAGTGAACTATGCACTGAAATATTGCACTTTAGTACATCTACTAGCTAGTAACTTAGTAGAGGGACTTACTTAGACGGTCAGCCTGCACCTCTATCATGAAGTCTATCTTCTCTTGCATGATGATCGATGATCATGCATCATGGCGGACACGACAGACTGCCTGCAGCAACATTGCTTCTGGTCTGGATAACTCGGAGCTTGTAGCTCGTTGTTGGCCGCGCTTACGAGATGTCAAACGATCACGTGTGGTGAGAATGCAACTTGAACTCTCGCTGAAGCCGGGTTGAATCTTGCAGACCTGGCAGGAGGCAACGGAAATTTGGCTACATACACCCGGCGTTGGCTCTCTCTCGACTACGCCTGAACTAGACGAGTTGCTCTCTGACTCCGAACACCATGCCAACTTGATGACTACTAAGAGCATAGGCTGGACAGTGAGCCTCATCATTTGGGCGAGCGCATAGAGTTCGACTCTCATCTGGATGGGTACCTTGTCGTCACCCCTGATTTACCAGTTGAAATTAGGCTTGGGACCAGCCTGGCGTATACTACCATGGACCAGTCGAGTGGCGTAGCGTCAAAACTCCACCCTCTCAAAGACGTACGCCAGACTGGTCACGAGTCTGAGTTGAAATGCGGAATAGGCCTCGAGTTGTTGAATTAACATCTGTCATGGACACGAGATTTGTTTTCATCGCAATTTGTTCAGCACTTCTGGCCCAGAGTGTGTCACGCACTGCCCCGTGAACGAACTGATTGACTATCATCTGACTATGTAGACGTGGTTCCCTGGATTATACGAAGGCCTGGGTGCGCACGGGACGACCTTTTCTTCTGAGGGCGCACGATGGCCGCCTCTTGGGGGTTAGGTCTGTGCCCAGACACCGCGGAGACTCCACTTATTTCATTTTCTTCAGACTATACATGTCCGCACTATACTCAAGACAGGGGTTGCCTGGAGGTTTAAAAGCAAGAGTCATTGCATGCTCAACAGCCATCGCATCAACGACCTTCTACAAAGGTGAGTCCCAGTTAACAACGCATCCACGGTTCACTCATTCATCTTCACGGGTTGTAGCAACCATGTCCGAATCAGCAGCCATGTGTGAGTCAGCAACTAGCACCTCAGACCTTCTGCCTACCAACTTCGTCGGGACCGCCATGGCCGCCGTGCAAAATGAGGACGGAAAATTCCGCATCTACTTCCAGAACAAAGACTACCAGATCTTCGAAATGTCGTTGAATGACCCAAAGAGCACGGTACACACCCTCCTCAAACTCACCACTAGTGGCATGCCCGCTGCTCGTATCAACACACCCATCGCAGCGGTGGCGTGCAAGGACTTGCGAGAGGTACGAGCCTTCGAGGCCAGCCGTTCCGTGCCTCGTAATCTCATTCTCACTTTCGCCATAACAGATTCGCGTGTATTACATCACTGTGACTAGTAGGGTGCAGGAAATTTGCCACACCCAGGGCAAAGGTTGGGTCAAAGGTGCGACCTTGGGCACCGCAGCCGAGAACAGCTCCTGCTTGTATGCGCAACAGCGAAACGCCCATGATCTCTCGATCAGGGTCGGGTTTCAGTGCTCCACTGCTCCTCAGACTATCACAGAAGCTTGTTACAATGAGCACCAGGGGTGGAAGAATCGTGTCTTGTAAACTGGGAGAGAATATTAGCGTACGTCACCTCGTATGCCAAGGAAACAAGTGTATTTGAGATTACGTGCAGAATTGTATGTTGTGCGTTGTATGTAGGTTTGCAATGCTACGTCGTGTTGAGGACGTTATGACCAGAGCAAGATATCAGTATTGAACTCTTAAGTAAGAATTGAGGCGACGAAAGGATTATCTCCGTCTTGGAAAGAGGAGTCCAGGATTGCGATCGAGGAAACCCTCCATTGAGTAGCGTGGTTGGTGAATTCTTTTGCAAAAATACCGGCCATCATTGACACTGCAGCACGCGCGTACTGTCAACCTTTTTGCACATAGCTGTAATGCATGCGAGAGCGAAGCTCCCATAACCAAGAACCAAGTATGCGATCCAGTTCCTTCGCAACTTTGGTGGCGCGCCACCCTTTCGCATGACCATGTCCGCACAATCCGCTCTCCTCCAGTAAAAAACTGTACACGTCGTACATATGAGGAACCGGACACTGTAACCTTAAGACAACCTAAGACAACGTACACGGACCGACAAGCTCGGAGGCGACTATTGGGTGTTACAACATTCCAAGAGGTACTTTAAAGTTTAGCGCGTTCGGACGACCTAGAACCCTGAATCGCCCCTCCAGAGAATACAAGAACATTGTAGCTTTCCGCGATGAGTCCGGAGCCACCATATGCGATATTAGCTGTAAGAGAGGGCGATTAAGACAAGGTTCCAGGAGTACCGAGTACCCACTGACCATGGTTATTGTATTTGACTGTGCCACAAAGAACGCCTCCCTTCAATGACGCCTGGGCAATTAAAAGGGGCTCTCCGTCCGCCTCCCTTCCCCCACTAGATAATCGGATATGATGTTAGGAAAGAGAAGACACTCCGTTGCGAGGTGGACCCACCGTACGGGAACAGCGCCGCCCAATTTCTCGTAAGAGAACAGGCCGTCAACGTGAACCCAGCGAACCGAATTCTTATCACCCACGAGACGTTCAAATTCGCCAGAAATCTGACAAGGAACTTGTGACAAAGTGCAGGTCAAGATGCTGGAGTAGACATACGACGATTTCTTTGTTGCCGTAGCTGATCCACATAGACTGCGAAGAAGCTTTGCCTGGATCTTGTGTGAAAGAAAGGTCAATGTTTTGGGAAATGTGCCAGTATCGGAACTTACGAAGACCGCTCTAGAAAGTTGCCCACCATAAGTCAGACTGCTCAAAGGGCATTATTGATTTAGCTTACCGCATACGGAGCACGTGCAATATAGAGGAGCTCGCCATTTGCCTCATGACCTCCCTCAATGGCTGTAGGTGGTAGTAAGCCCAGGGTACCGACAGTCTTCCGTGCCACGCGTTGTTAACCTAAGAATAGGAAAAGAATGAGGCCTCTTACCCAGTGGACCGGAGACTGGATGACATTGCCTGGATTACCAAAGATAGGCGTTGGGGCGCCAATCTGCGGAGCAGGGACGATGAGAAAATGGAGGAGAACGGCTCTGCGTCACGCACTGGCTGCTTATCCCAGTTTTCCTTGCAATGTGCCTCGAAATCGTTCAAAGGAGGATAGGTCGGACGGAATCCCGGATGGAATACCTGCTGAAACACTAGGCCGGCACTGGTCATATAGTTCGGGGACACCAGTTGCTGAGGAGAGAAGTTGAGACTCTGGTGGAATGTAGAGAACTTGGTGATGTCTTTGTGTTCGAGACGGGTCTCGTGGCCGAGCACGGGCCGCTCAACGAAAGGGGTCTCCATGTACGAGTTGTGGGGCTGAGAAGTTCCCCAGGGTTCGGGGTTCGGCTGCCTGGTCGATCTCAAGTACACGAGGTCTAGGTCAATGAAGGACGTGATCTCTCCCTACAGGTCAATAAACAACTGGGAGATCATGCGCCAATCAAAGAACTTCACGCACCGCCATCCAGAAAAGGGCGATGTCTTGAAGTTCGCGACGCTCATAACCACCACCTACGTCGGCGTGGGCTCCCGGGAACCATACCTGCGACGACATCAACGCCGAAGCTAGGAGTTACTGCGCATCGAGGCATTCACCTGTTTCAGAATCTGCTTAGGGGCCAATTTCTCCTGAGGCGTGGACCACAAGGTAGGCAAGAATTCTTTTCTATTCTCGTGGAGCGAAATTGCGTGAAGTGCGATCTCGACTGTTGCCGGAAGTTCAGCATCACTGAACGCGAGCGCATCGATGGTATCGAAAACCGACCCAACCGTATCCCACACACCCACGCACCTTTCCCAGCGATTGAGCAATGAATGGAAAGACGTAATCTCAGAAATTCTTACTTGATTGTTGGATGCCGGGTGCCGTCTGGGATAGTAGGGGTAGGATGCTTGTCCATGAGTTGACGCCAAATCAGGAAGAATTGTCCAAGATTTTCTCGTGTCAGCAACCCAATGTGATCCTACAATGTTCGTATGATGCGAAAAGAATTTATGTTGGTTCGAATGACTCACAATCAACCCAGCCAGCTTTCTCGCCGTGTAGGCGCCTCTGAACGGCCATCTTGCAGGTTAAAGACAGGTCTCGCGAGAAATGTGGCAAACATCACCTGGAAAACCTAGCGAATGATAAATCAGCGTGTGTGAGATCAAATCCAAAACTAACTGGGTTAATACTCACCCAAAGATACAGATCTCATCTCCATCTTCAAAATTCTGAGCGACGAATGCATATGCGTCACGAATTTTGCTCGCTGAAGAGCATGGATACCCATCAACACCTCGTTATCTGGAAGAAACAGTGGACTCACCGACTGCGGTGCCCAGTGCCTCTGAGTTACACGATGATTCCGTAAGTTCGGGAACCCTCCCAACTGCTGGCTACTCACGCAACGCTGTAGTCCCTAATACAGGATCTCCCGCGAAATTGGCCTCCGTACCGACTCCGCTTTGATAAAAGACGATCTGCTTCTTGTCGCCGCTACGCGGACGTCAGAGAAGTTGTTGGAGGGGCATGAGCAAAGCGCTCACGAGCGAGGTTTGACGGATCGTGCTTGGAGTTATTGTATTGTCAGGCTGAACTTATGAAACAACTAGTGATAGCTTACCAAGGCGGACAACATTCGTTGGGAACTTCCCGACAGCTAGTACACGCTACTTGAGTAGATATTATGGGGATCCGATGAATTTTCTTACGCATCTCTAACAACATTGTCTCTGCGATATTGGTAGCCATGCGTTCAACTTGTATAGGAAATCAGCTTCCGACGGAAAGGGTGAACAAATATTTACCGACCAGCATTCTCGACAACTGCTATTATATCGCCTCCGATGGACTGAGCAGCGGGAACTGGGGCTCGATTCGTTAGACGATGTCAATTATCAAAATACTCTCCTTACTGCAATTACCGTCCATGCCGGTCCCATCACAGAAGATGAGTAACATCTTCGAAGACATTTTGCTGCTGAATGGTAGAACCACTCGAAACAGTAAGCGTTGAGACGACGTGATGAGGGAGTGACTTACTTCGTCACGATAGATGCTCCGTCGATCTGGAGGAGTGATATCCACAGTCTACGGAATCGATAAGAATCAGATCATCTGTTACATGGACTTATACATACTGTGAGATTTATACACTAGCGAAGAGCTCAGTAGTTGTTAGGAACAATACTATATTGACAAAGTACCTAGCAAAAAGCTAAGTGTGCATCAGTAAGTGCAAGTACGAGATACGAGATACAGGCATACACACCTTAGTAGTTGTTAGGGACAATACTGAGGTGTTGACATGGGACACGACGATTTAAAGTACGAACGGTAGCGCTTAGCTAATGGAACCGGAGGCTCGACTTGCGGAAGAATCCATAAGGTACAAGAAGCCCAAGACGTATGGCGGCATCGAAGGTGCAAGATAACTTAATAGCGCAAGAATGGTAATACTGAAGCCAACAAGATTGAGCAAGAACGGCGTTCTGCATGCTACTAGTGTGAATTTAGTGATGCGCCGGCCTTGGCTTGCCCTTAAAGCAGGCCTGTGGGCGGACAGGTCGGGTTTTCGAGCAACGCTTTCGTGTGACCACGCCCTCGGTAATCACTTGGAAGGGGAATAATCACAGCAATCATTGCCTTGCTGAAGCCGCGCCTGTCCGTTCCTTCAGTCCCGGCCAAATTAACGCATGACATGAAAACAGGGCGGTAAATCACGCCATGGGATTAAAATGGTTTAAGTTGCGAGTGGTCGGTATCAACAGAGTCACGATTTCGAACGGTCAGCTGACGCACATACCTGACGCAGTTGTATGTGACGACACTAACGTCAAGCACCGAACACCCACCCAGCGCCTCGCAGGCATGCAGGGAAACACCGTCAGGAACAGTATGGAGTTCTGACAGGTGGAGCATTTGACTGATAGGCTTCAGTAAGTGCGGACTACTGTTCGGATCCCATTGGACCCTGAAAAAGAGGTCAGCAAAGCTACAGAAAATACAATCCAACCTACATGATTGAAACCAAATGGACACCACAGATATCAGTCAAGAACATCACGCAGGGTGCAGAACAGTTCACCTTGACAGATGACCTTTTGGCAGCGCAGAGCCGGGAAATTGATGTTCCAATTTGATCGGATTGAACCAGTCCACGCCCACAGGCACTCGCAACCTTCTCCCGCGCTTTGTTCGTTCTTCGGGATTGGCCGCCACTGTATCGCAGCTTTGTAGCGGCGTTTGTTTGTCAGCAGCCGGACTAAGTATGTTGTTCTCAATTGCATCTTGTGATGTTTGCCCAAGGTATTATAGACATAGCTTATTACGCAGCACAAAGGACTTGTATTCCGTCTCATATATACTACAGTCCATTGGCCGCAATCATAAATGAGTCACATCAACTCGACAAAGGGAAGGCCAAAACTACGTTAATTAAGTTGCAAGTCAGCATTCAAAGTGAATGAATATGAATGAAATACATAGCAATGTACGTGATCAGCGCGGCGGTGCGCCGCCGAAGTGGATTGCAACAACGGACGCGAAGTCCGGAACCTTTTCTGACCCGCGAGCAGATGGATCCGGTCCCTGTCGTGAACCTTTCCACAAAAATCGTTCAGCGTGAGTCACAGGTTGTTAATACTTTGGGCTCACTCCGTCAATTTTCACCACAATCCCATCGTTCGCTTCCATTTCTGCATTGCTGTTTGGCGCCTCCCTTGTTTCATATTCTTGCGCGATAAGGAGAAAAGGGCTTGGAAACAAACGTGTGTACAGAAATTTTAGCAAACCTTTCGTTATGACACTGCAGCCACATACAGTGACATACTAATATGCGGACCTGGATCAGATGGTAACTTGTACCGTAAGTGGCATATATTGCAGCTGGTAGGAAGCTTGATCAGAAATACATTTAGTTGTGACAGACGAAACTCACCTTGTAATTCACGCGCTGTAGATTACGCCTCTAGATGTGCAGGAAGAGCAGCTTGCTTCGGTAAAGATGTCTTCATTGCCCGATCTGGGAGGGATGTAAATACTTGGACCAGCGCGCAAGGTAGTCAGGGTCATGAGTAAGATCCCGGGCTCCAAAGGACAATAGTTAGATTCTGGGGAGAGAAATAAAATGTCAACGGTTCTATGAGTTATTGTTCGGAACGTTCGGTAAAGAGGTCGTTATCGCCCGAACAGGGAGGGATGTAAGACTTGGGATCAGCACTTAAGGTAGTCAGGGCTCTCAGTGGATGTCCGACGAGTAAGATACCTCACTCCACAGGATAATAGGTAGGCTCCAGAACAAAAGAAACGGTCAACGGTTATATGGGTGATTATTGGGAACGACATGTACCAGGTAACCAGAGGCAGGCTAGATCATTGAGGACGCAGAGCATCGACCACAAGATTGGCTGCTAATCAGTTCACTGATCAAACTGAGGAACTTTCGAGCCAACATTATCTGAGACATCTTGGACCACGAGCCGTCTCGGTAGCACGACTGGCAATGAGAGATGAGTTCTTAAGTATTTTCCGGTCCTAGTGGTAAACTCGGTGTGAAAGGTGGATTGCTGTGACGGATAAACTGGGCTTTCGCACCGCGGCCTCTAAAACCGTTATAGCACAAGTGCGACCGCACTGGAGAAGTGCGTGATGAATGGTTGTGACACCTACAGTGAGACGCCGGAGGATTCTGCGCCACATTCGGGCACAGACCGAACAAACATCACATAGCTCCTCGAGCCTGTCTCATTGAGGCGACCGTGCACGGATAACACTTGTTCTAGTGTGTGGGCTGTCGATATGCACTGTGGGTAAGCTAGGGGCCTCAGTCAACCAGTAAGTTACCACTGATCAGTGAAGTGATTGACTTAGGCCAATTAGTTCAACCAGCATATTCGTTTTCGGAGCGGCCAGAAAGATATTATCCGTGATAATATTGACCAGAAAACAGCATTTGACTAGTCAGTTGAAGACTAGTACTGGTTGTCTCAAACGGACTTGTGAACAGAACAGCCTGAACCGGTTGTGGCTTGATGTGTGACAGTTATTACCCACGTGGCCGAGTGCAAGTGATGAGGAGGCGAAACAGCTTGTTTAGCTCATTCACTCTTCCCTTCCGCCATTCTCATCGTCATGCATGACGCTCTGCCATCTCTTCTCTTGCCATCTACCTCAACACTAACCTTTCTTCTAGGGTTCATCTGAAATATGATTTTTGGTACCAGTGTCTGGAATATTAATATCGAGCGAGGATCAGGGTGACGTCTCCTTACCTTGGGAATCGTTCAATAACGACGCTAACGAGTGTCTGTAGTTGGGATTGATGCCACGACGTTCTATAGAGCTCTCCAGTTAATACGGTGCTCTGCTGAGCATACTGGGTCACCGCAATCGGCATCCGATGTGTGCGATGGGAGCAGCGAGTGCGGTGGTGATTTCTGCAGCACTCCCACATTGCGATAGTGGTTCCAGTATTTTGTCTCTGCTGCCATTGCCTATATCTTACTGTTTGTGCATTTTGCGGACGTGCAGCGCTGCCCTCGTTTGTGAGTCAGTTCCACGCCTCCTCGTGCTTATCCGAAATGCACAGCTTTCTCATGGTTTCCTGGTGATCCTTGCAGGAAACATGCGCATATATCACGCAATCGGCATTTGCTTTTTTGCTTTCGCTTGGTGCCATTTGATTAGGTGACTTCAACCTGATATTGCTCTCACTGCGTGCAGAACTCGCCTGTTACCGGTCGGTGGCACGATGATAATTGATGAAAGTTGTGGACTGGAGCGCATATATCCTCACTTTACTTGACTGGTGCATGTGTCTTTGTCGTGGCCTGGAAATAGGTGAGAGTCGTATATCCTCGTTGCATGTGCCACTTCAGCTGATTATCTGATGTAGGATGCTCTTTGTATGTTCGTCGCCAAGGATTACTCATTGGATAAACGGTGTTGCTCAACCGTCGCAATTTTACAGAGAATTATCAATGTATTTCTTTTTTGGCGGCGCAATTAAAGGTGCGCGTTTCCAGTACTTCTCACAAAGACTTTCACCTAACGTCTCTTGTTCCTCCATCGTTTGTCGTGCCGCAACTCTGAATTCTAGCAGATATATAATAACTAGAGGATATCCTGTGTCCAGCTTGATCACTGACGTAGTTAGTGTATTAGTCCTGAGGAGATTGTTTGGTCAGGACAAACACCGGGGAAACCCTTAGTATTTGTCAGATTTTCTATTGTTTTATCTCGGGCCGAGGACTTTTTCGGCAAATTTCCGACCACGCCGCCGCTGCCACCGACGACGACGAGGAGCTTAACTGTAGAAGCCAGTCTCCCTTGAACCCATCTTCATCCTGCCACGTCTCCATGTCATGCCCCGCAACCCGAATCTGGGTACCTCGACCCTTCGAAACCGCAATCGAGTTACCAACAAGACACGTCTTAAGGTCATCCAAGGCAGCATCGATGCAGACCCTCTCGTTATCGATGAAGATGAGGAAAAGGCCAGGATTATTAGCACTGCTGGCGTGGACGCTGAGGACGCCAATGTGAGTCGTTTTCCCTTTCGCCGTCGCTTTCAACGCCCTTGTTGAAAACGCTGACGTGTCGCTTTCTCATTGGCTGGTGATCGTGGGAAATTCCTTATCGATGGCTGACTCATTTCCACCTTTAGGAGCATCACTTGCAGGCGGTACTGTCCGCCGCGTCCCACAGACACCAATCAGTTGGTCGCTCAACACGTGGGGAGAAGGCTGTCGCACCCGCTGCATATATTCCCACACCAGATTCCACTGGTATCGTCGACAACTATGAAGAGTTATATCCTCCGCAGCGGTGGGACGACCCAAGCGCGTACATCAGATCCTCAGAGACTGTCGATGAGGCAGTCTCAAATGCGCTCGTCGATGCGTTCACGTACTATATGGATGAGCGTGACAAGGAGTGGCTCGACAGAAACAACGAGGAGGCGCGTGGTGAAGGCACCAGTGCCCAGGGTGCTCTTTCAGCGGCTGGCACAACGACGCGCTCTGGCCTGTCCCAACGAAGTGCCAAGGCAAAAGGCAAGGAACCCGAGTCGACACAACCCTTTACTATCACAGAGGACGAGTTTGAACTTGTGATGGGCATCTTTGAGAAGGTGACCCACGAGAGGACGGAGTTCTTGCACCATGTAAGTTTAATGATCTGTTCACTGCGGTGCACCGCTCATTCTTGATTAAGGGACTCGAGTCCGGCATGACATTCCCTCCATTTACCGACTATCAAGAAGCGTTCTCCTCCCCATTACCACCCTCTATGTTTGCCACGTACGCAGTGCCAACGTGGATACCGCAACCTGCAGTACTACTGCGCTTGGCCAAAGTCATTTATCCTTACTGGCGTGATCGCCGCATCGAAAGAAAAGGCCATCGAATTATACCCATATTGAATGTGAGTACAATTCTATACTCGTATGAACAAAGTTGCTGAAGCCACTTTTCAGTACGATGAGTCGGACGTCTTCAACGAGTCGTATATTTGCTTCCGCCGCCGTGAGATTAAGGCTATCAGAAAGACTCGTGCCTCGCAGGCAACGTCATCCGATAAGCTTTTGCGGTTGCAGAACGAGTTGACGCAGGGTCTGGAGCTCGCGAAAACACTCCTTTCTCGGGAAAATCTCAAGCGTGACTACACACAGCAGACGCTGCAGGTGTGGGATAAGCGCTTCGAGTTTGCCGAGCTCAAGCGCAAATTTCCCTCGTTGGGTACGAAGGAGGACGAAGAGCTTCTACACGACAAGGAGAGAGTAGCGAAGAAGCCAAAGATCGAAGCCAATCGTATCACTGGTCTCAAGATACGTACCAGAGATAGCGGGGATCCAGGATCTCCGGCTGTTGCTGCCGAGGCATGTATCCGACCCAAGGAACGCATTAGCCTCATCAATGCAGCCATGGAACGTGACCTTGCGAGCCAAAAGGAACGAGACCACGGGTACGAAGATGTGGTGGAGGTAAGACTGCATAAAGTATATACTTCAGACGCTGACCATTCTTTCAGAACCCATACCAACGTCCGACGTTTTCCTTTCCGCGGCGCCACTGGAAGGCAATTTTTCCCTCGCGCTCGTCAGCATCATCACCAAATGTAGCAGACGAAGAACCGGAGCGCGTACGTTATGTCCGCCATCGTCTGACTCGTCTAGGCAATGCTACGATCGATCGTCGCGACGCCTTCATGCAACGTCTTGGAATTCGTGCTGACGACTCTATGTTCGCGCGACGACGACAAGCATTCGCACAGCGCAAGGATGCCATTGTGTCTGAGGAGGATGAGGAGGAGATGTCTGCTCGTCTGCGCGAGCGCTGGAGGTTTGATCAAGATGATGAGCCCACTGTTGGACCCGAGGGTGCCGATGAGCAGGACCGCGTCCTTATCGATGACTACGATCCAAAGTATCTCCGTCACATGATGACATTGTTGTCCGATCAAGACCATCAGTCCCTGACGACAGATAACACGATTGTTGTGACCATGGACGGCCGCCAACATTCTGTCACGCCATATCGACTTGGAGTGCAACCCCAGTATACTATCCGCCGCGATCAAAACGGCGTACAGAGGGTATATCCTGGAGGGATGCCGCTGTCAGCCACTCGTGCAGCCCCTGCAGGCATCCCAATGCCAAATGGTGTACCGATATCCATGCAGGCACATGTCAAAGCGATGCAACCGCCGTCTGCCATCCCGCAAATGCGCATCTCATCAAATGGGGGCATGCGTCCTCCAGTTGTCGGGAATATTGCATCCCCAAGTACGCCTGTTTCAGCTCAGCAGTCCTCCCCTCCCCGCACCGCCGCTTCCACGAACGGAGCCAACGGCAACCATTCTGGCACTCCTACGCCAGATGGCGATTCGGTCAGGCTGATCGCCGCACCCAATGGCATCGCCGCCACGACTCTCAATGGCACAGCACATCAGCCGACAGACGTGCAGATGTCCCCTCCTGCAGAACCTCCCCAGTCCAATCAGACTGGCTCACCAGCGCGTCTCAAGGCTGAGTCTCAGCACGTTCCGGTATCTGTCCCACTCAGTAGTTACCACATCCCTATGAACGGCTATGCCACCCTGCCTAATGGCACCGTCATGCAGGTGCCGCGACCGCCGAATGGCTTCATGCAGCAAGTGCAATCGTTCAAGATGGCGTTTGCACAGAACGCGGAGGGACGACCAACGCAGATTCCGTACCCGGGGCATCCCATACCTAATGGCACGCACTTTAATGTGCAGCTGGGTGGCCAAAACCTTAACATCAAACTTCCTCAGGGACGGCAGTGGCCTGGCGTAGCATCGCCTCATCAGCAGCCCGCGCAGCTTAACTCGGGGCAAGAGGGTTCGCCGAGCCCTCATATTGCGCCGGGCAATCTACCTGCGCGCACGCCGTCTGCCAATGGTATGCGAACCGCGAACCGTGCTGGGAGCATTAGTGTTCCTCAGCAGGTCAGTCAACTACTACCAAATCAGTATGCCATGTCGCCCCATATGCAACACAACAGCCCATCTCCACTACCGTCCTCCATCCCCTTGCCTTCCCACCAGTCCCCCCCTCGCCCGCCGCCCACCCCGACCATGAAAATGGCTTCCCCGTCTCTGCAGCACCAGCAGGTAGTACAGAGTTCGCAAGGCGGATATTAGTGTATACCACTGGACGTTGTGCAATCGGGTTCATGCGCGCTTATCTTTCCTGCGATCCCTGACATTACCATTTCGTTTATACTCTTTCCGCTCTGTTTTGGTTACAATATCACTCCGTTTTATGTGCTTTCCAGTTATGTATTATTGTCGCAATTTGAGGCATTTTCAGTCTTGCACCTACTAGAGCGGTGCTAGCGAGGCACACGGTCGTGGCAACACGATAGCTTTAAAAGCTTACACATCGGGATTGTTATGGTGTAGGTGAGTGAGTGCGTTGGTGATGTGGGTATTCTCAGGTTTGTTCCCGCAGCCGTTGCTGACCCATGTACATGCGCCTACATCTCTCGAACGTTTCATATCGACGTTTCATATCTGCGCGAAGCAGTCGTCACCGGTGAGTTGCAGATGATGGATCCACTGTGCTCGAAGTCGCACGCCCCTTCGTTAGAACACATCGGTAGGCAGATATCAGCGCTCTTGAATTTGTATGGAGGTGTGTGCTATGCCGCAATGTCTCACCTTTAGCGCACAACTTGCAAGTATGCTTGCTGTTGGCTGATGCGTTGGAAACGTACAGATGTGGTTTAGTGATGGTATCGTGCAAGTATTTCCTGTGGAAGCACAGTCAATTCAACAGAATGATCACGACGTTCTTTCAATTGACACATCCAAGACACCAAACACATGACTCAGAGCGCTGCCTGTAGGAAGGTCTCTCGTGTCTAATGCACCTGAGTGGTGACCGCCTCGCGTGTTTCCACCCAGTTTGAAGGTAGCCTCCGTACACTACTGTTGAATACATCCCGCAGTCTCCACGTCAGTCAGCATTGTTATGACTCTACGTGAACTTGCTCTCACCGACACACAGTTGCAGGCCTCGTGAAGTGATGATTGATTCAATCGTCCTAATCGATAGCCATGACACTCAATTTCGCTTCGCTGAGCGTAAGTCGCAGCAATCCAATCCAATCCAATCCGTTTCTTTTCCCTGACTTTGCTCGCAGACCGCGATGGCAGGTGGTGGATTATTCAGGGCGTCATCAGCGCACAACCAAATAAGCTGGCTCCTAAGCTAGTGATCAGTACCACGAAAGGGTGCAGCTTGTTTTACCCCGACGTCATCGGAGTTCTGAGCCCAACTCTTCGCGCCTCGTTCAACGTAGTGTGAACTTCACTAGGTTTCGGATATGTGAAGAACCACAGGGCGCATGTGGGCAGGAAAATGGGGACGGTACTATTGGATTTCGGCGTTCGCTAAGGAACTCGGGTGACCGAACTACAAAGAGACACGCCAAGTATTGAGAGGTCGACCTGTCATAGGTCATACATGAGACTAACAATATTAATTAATAGAGGGATGTGTTTGTGAGCAGTTTACGACTCAGCGTGTGTAACGAACTGTATACACATGTTATGTGTGTGGGTGTAGGATTACTTGAACGGATCCAGCGCCCTAGACCTTAGCTGGCAACTTCGCAACTTGAACTTCATGCATTCAAAAGGCCATAGTAAACCGTGATTCTGGTGAACTAGTAGCTTGCAAGTCCTGGGATATCTGTTGCTATGTAATAGACTTGACTACCTAGGTGCCTGCCGCAGGCCTGCAGGGACTGTGGATTCTATAGGCCGCCGTGGCTGACTGTCAGTGGAGTACAAGTATTCGGCTGTCTGTCGGAAATGTTGTGTTTTACTCATGTGCTTATCTAAGAAGTCCAGCTAGAATAATAATTCACATCGTGAATCGCATAGACAGTCGAGCAAGAATAAACTTACACCCTTCCTCTCGACCATGCGGTTGAAGTATCCGGCAAAGCCAGCCCTGTATTTAACGTCAGTCGTGATGCCCATCCCCCACGGGCAAACTACCTACGTGGTCGTCTTGGCGGGGTCGGGCCTTACAGGCTGACCGGTCTTCTCGCGGTGGTCATTGTAGGCTTCCGTTGCCTATGATAAAATTTTCGCAATCGGAAGATTGATAAGGGGGAGGAATGGAACTCACGTCGTAAAAAGCGGTCGCCTGGTGAGGTGCATTACCAACCTGAGATGCTCGCGGTCAGATAAAGTATGCACTGAACAAGCAATAGATTACCCGGTCATAAGCGTCCGAGTCAGCAAGACCATCATCCTCGTGGTGGCCGTAAAGCATGATGGTGAGGAAGTAGTAGTACAGATGCTAATGATTACTGGGTCACCAGTCTATGTACCGGTGTGAAGCGTTGTCACTGCGCATCACCGTTGATACTGTTTGGCAGCACCGCAGCAGTGGCCACGGCACTTGGCATCCCTATAGCAAGTTACTTTGGCGCAGCATCCCTGATCCCGGACCTTTGATGCCCCGACTCGGAAAGTTGCTTGCAAGTTGTTGCACAGGTTGCCATGCATCGGACGTAATTGCATCCTGGATGCTCTGATGCTCTCTGATGCACCTCCATTAACGATGAAGACGAGGGTTTAAATTACTAAACATTGCAGGTCACTAATATGAATAGGAGTTGCGTCTAAGTGTAGAGTTTAGCTTGACCTGAAATTGTCCTCCTGGCGATGTTGCTGATGTACCACCAGGGCATAAGATTTATCTTCTGTTACATCGTTTGTCCGTCTGATAACCTTCATTTAAGAGAAGTGGTCTTCACAGGGACCATTGGGAACAAGTCCAAGGTAGCTAGCATCGTGAATTACACTCAGAAGAACGTGCAAGGCATGTCATTTCTTCCTCCCAGCGTGCTGTATATACGTGTGCTCATACTTAAACAGCGGACGAACCGGAGTCATCCTGGTTCTCGGCGTCCTCTTCGCGTGGATCCTCTTCTAGCCTTGGATTCAGGACACTGTCAGGCAACACCAGTACACCCCGAAAGGGACGCTTTCGCGCAATCCCAACGCCGTATCACGCTGGCAAGACACGAGTAGTGCCCGTCTGCGCAGCAGATACACATCGCCTGGGTTGCATCTCCTTTGATAGAAACCTTTTGCAGCCGATACCAAGCGTCGGCACAGAAGTCTGCATCTTCAAGGATCTTTTTATGAACGAGCACATCTTCCCTGGTCTTGACACCTCCTGCTTGTTCAGGTAGATCATCGCCCAAGCCGGCAATTTTACCACTGACATACTTTCTTGTAGCATGGACTCAACCATATCACTCGTTTCACAAAACCCTCCCACTAACATGGTCCGGGAAGATCAGACGAGCGCGCTTAAAAACATATAAGATAATAGTACGTAATGCTCAGGGGACATTCCATTGCTAGCCTTGCAACTACTGAGCATTTCTTCAGCGTCAGCGCTCTCATCATACATATCAAGAACCAGTGAGGCTAGTGCCATCTATAATTTAAAGAAATACATATACATTTATACTCCAGAAAGGGTCAGAGAAGAACCAAGTGTCCATGGCGTATTCTATAGTAACGCAATGTATACAGAAAAAATCCGCCGGACCCTGCGAGAAGCCTAGCAAGAGGTTTTACCACAACAGCAAAAGAAACAAAGTCGATCAACAATGCACAATATATGCGACACGTACAATATTTGCAACCAATAGATAGAAAAATAGACACTAAAAGAGTGGAAGCGTCGTCGCGAGGTCCGAGGCGAGGCGAAGCGAGGGGGGGGGGGGGGGGAGATAGCATAGAGAGGATATCGCAAAATCGGCAAAGCACGACAAATGTACCACAACAAGCAACGAGAAGCTCATTTTATTTTTCGTGGAAAGTCAACTTCTGGGGCGTGCGAGCCGTCTCCTGCGACGTCGTGTCGACTGAGATGTTTGAGTGATGGCGCTGGCGCACCTGGAACGCGTATTCGGAGGGCGATTCCTCTATGAGCTGAGTGTTGCGATTGATCAAGATTTTGATCCAGGTGGGCACGATGCCGCCGGGAGGGACGACCCAGGGCTCGGACGCGTCGTAGTTGGGTGGCATGATTGTGTTGTTGGAGAGCTTGGCAACTATCCACACGAACCCGTTGATGATGACATAGGAGAACACGCCGACGATGACGCCGTATGCGATACTGTTCCTTGCTGTCAGTATCTTGAACCATCAGAAAAACGTCAAGGAACTCACTTGTATGAGAGAGGGATGAAAAGGATAGTGAGGAATGCAGGGACGGCATCGCCAACATAGTCCCAGTTGATATCGCGCACGTTGCGAATCATGAGAGAGCCAACAACAACAAGTGCGCCACCGGTGGCCCAGGGAGGGATGGAAGCGAATATGGGCGCGAAGAAGACAGAGACGAAGAAGAGGAGTCCAGTGACGATGGCGGTGATACCTGTCTTACCCCCCTCTGCGCGCTGAATCAGATCCTGAAGACATATTCAAGAAGGCATGATGTTCGTACCAGCAATACCAGTGGCGCTCTCAATGAATGCCGTGACGGGACTTGTACCCACGAGTGCGCCCATGGAGATGGAGAAGGCATCAACACAATATGCGATGGTAGAGTTTTCAAAGTCAAGGGTGACAGGATCACGAAGACCAGCGAATTTAACCATAGAGTAAAGAGTACCAGTGGTGTCTTAACCAAACGTTAATTCCAGACGTGGTTCGATGTCATCAGTTGAAACACTCACCCAAGATATCGACATAGAGGAAGGTGACGAGTGCGTACCACACCCTTCCATTACCATAGTTATACTTCACAGCGAGACATGAGCTCAGTTCCCTAGAAGGGCAGGGTTTCACTTACATCTAGTGCATTGCCAACATGTTTCAAGGGGTGCCAAGTAACGACTTGTTGGAAGAACTCGAACAGCTGATCACCGGAGTCGGTGTGTGGGAAGTAGGTGACGGAAGTGTTGCGCGGCCAAGAGATGACGGAAGTGATGAAGATACCGATTAGAAGGGAGCCCTTGACACGATATAGCATCAATAGGATCGTGAGGATACTGGTTTAGGGTTATGCCGTAAGTCCAAAGGAAGATAAGACAGCGGACCGTACATACCCGCCGGTAAAGATGCCAAGCCATACGGTAGGACTGCGCAGTACTTGGGTTCCACAAAAGTACGGCATGTTAGGCAGCCAATCTACAAACGTAGATTGTCAGACTGGAGGGTGATGGAACCATATGGAGTAAGGGTACCTGACTCGAGACAGCCACCAAGGCCAACGAGGTTGGTGGTGTCACCTCCAATCACATTCAAACCACCAGATGCTGTGCGAAAATGATAAATAAAGAAGACCAATGAGAAAGGAGATGTGTGGACGAACTTAATCCGATGAAGCTGTGTAGCAACGAACAATGATGGGTGTATCAGTGTCAAGTATCATTAATCAGAGGAGCGAATAATAAACTTACGCAATGTAGATACCAATACCAGCACCGACGGCAAGGACAAGGGATTGCGGCATAATGCGAGCAAGCCATTGACGCAAGCCGAGAAGGGACAGGATGAAGAAGATCCATCTGCAGAAGGGATAAAATTATATTTAATGAATGGAGCTCCACGGGAGAAATAGACGTGCCCTTCCAAGAAGACAGCAGCGAGTGCTTCCTGATAAGTAATAAATCCACTGCCGTGATAACCAACGACAGAGTATGTGAACTGTGCAAACGGTGTTAATGAAGATGCCTAGTCATTGGGCGGGCGCCGATGGACGTACATAGGCATTAAGTCCCATTCCTGGAGCCATACCGACAGGTAAATTCGCAAGGGCACCCATTAAGACTGATGCCAGAGCAGACATGGCTGCTGTGGAAGTAATGAGATCTTGTTTCACCTCTTGAATGCATTGAAGATATGTCGGATCAGTGGCACAGTTATTGGCTGCTTCACAGACACAGGTTCCTCCAGAGTCTGATAAAATAGAAGCGTTGACCGAGATCTTGGAAGGATAGATTAATTGAACTCGTTATCTTGACTGTGACAAGTAAAACATACGATGTATGCCATGGCAGCCTGAGATGGGAGTTAACAAAATAAACTCAACGGTGAAAAAATAATTCTCACCCAGGTCGTTATACCTGCACGAATATCTGTCTGATGGACACAAATGTTGTTAGACTACGAGGTATACAGGAGTGACAAGTAGCAGTAACGAACCATAAAGCGTGAACCTTCGCGCTCACGGGCATGACCAGAGCCCTCCAAGCGGAACCATCGTCCAACTGCAGAGTCAGCAACCTAAGAAGAGGAGGTTATTGAATTAGGATAGGAAGGGAGGTGGGGGTGATCAACGAACCTGGGCGTTCAGCCTGTCGGCGAAAGTGAGCATTTGGACAGAGGTAGGGAAAAAAGAGGGTAAGATAAAGAGGGCGCTATATAACAAGTAAGAGATGGTCCTAAGGAAGGTGCTCGAGAGAAGGAAGCGAAACTCTCACTGTAGATTTGACTTAATGACTGCATAATACTGTATCTTTCAACACTGCATCAAACAAACTGCAGTTACCTAATCGAGATTCGATCAGAACCTATCACGTTATCACTCACACCAACATTACCAAACACTGTCAAATTGTCTTTCCAGGAACTCCCCTTGCCAATCCAGCAGGAGGTCGCTCCCTATTAATTTCTAGTCCAACATCTGCTACATTGCCTTGCGACAAAACAATCTTATACGAACGAGGCCCGAACAGTGATGTCGCAGGGTTGGTCCTGATCGAAAAGTCAAACTGATAGACTGAGTTTCGAAACATTTTTGAGTTTAGCTAACGTTCACAGTTCCTTGCGGAGTTGAGAAGGCTCGGCCGTGTTTCCGAATTATATAGAACGATGACCTCGGTGTCATGGCTGACCATCGTGATGGTAATAGTGAGGTAAGGGATAACCTCGTGCACGAAGTTTGATAAGATCCGGGGCGTATCATGCCATTTGTGATGTGTTTTACCTTTGGTCAATGAACTTTGGGTGCTGACCTGGAACTTAGTTCTGTCCTCTCACTCGAAAACCATTGATCGGTGACTTATGATCCGTTATCAAGAGTCCGGGCGTGAACTCTTACCTACATTGTACTAACGCGCAGCACTTCTGATATCACTGACGAAGAGGCTATGCGCAGCAGAACACAAAGGGAGGACCAAATTGGAGTGTATCCTTAAATTAGCTCACTTGAACTATGTATATCTCAGGCGATATACCACCCACTTACTCCCAAAACGAACAACAAAAGACAACAAACCGGGTAGAACGTGTCGCGTATCGATGTCTCGCGTTCATATCGATCAAGAGAGAACACCTCAACGAGTAATCGAGACAAGGGTTAGGTCAGTTACCGGAGGCCACTTTCAAAAATGATCAAACCACTTCCTTGCCGCCAGAAGGCTCCATTCTTCGTCCGGCAACATTCTGTTCGTTTAGAACAGTGGGACAGCTCCTGGACCATCCAGAATGGGGTTATCTTCATGAATCCGAACTTTGAAGTTACGCAGCTAACTAAGCGTTTCGAAATGAAATGGTAAGACGTCATATCATTATGAATTACCAAAGCCCTTTTTTTGTCTTTTTTTTTTCTTTCTTTTTTTTTTCAAGTCACTAGATATTCAGGTTGTTTCAAAACGATCACAAGTCCAGCGCAAACGAATGGTGAGTCCACACTCACAAATATACTGAAATAATGGAGGATTGTAGACTTTGGGGACATCGGGGATACCCTCTGGTGCGACGAGAATACTAATCGGAACGCTGACGAGATAATCTGTAGGCTATTCCGGGCTATTCGAGGCCCATCTGTTGCGGCAAGGTTCCAAGAATGGATACGGAATAGAGTTCGTCTGGTAACCAATACCGTCGCAACGCCGCTGACTATCCGACCTAGAAGGACAGATTTCGAATCAAAGAATCGGCAGGAGTGCAGATCTAAATCAGAACATGCCGCAAGCCTATTTAGCGAGTCAAAATCAGTCCAACTGTACAGATCTTCCAAGTATCTCCGACGGTTTCGGCAGTCTGTCACTCACCATCTTTTATGCGGCGGTCTCAGGTCATGTACCAGTAAAACTTCAACCTTGGCAAATATTGGCAAGGAGCAGAATTGTACGTGAGCAAGGAACCATCAGGCAAGGACGCGCATTTTCTGATAGTATTGCTGAGCGATCGACCATCCAGACTGTATCCCTACAGTAGTCAGTACAATTAAATTAATTGACACTTGGTACCGTTCAACATCTCCTGGTACCTGTTGATACACATACCTATGCAATTCGAGTGCCAGTGCGGCAGCGGCAGGCCCACCATAACGTGGCCAACTTCCGGTATGCTGCAGCTGGAGGCGGACGTCCAGGCATTGCAGGCCCAATCGCCCAATTTGGATAGGTTATGAGATGGTCCAGACGGTGGCAGGACTCTCATCTATTCCTATGCTATCCAATTTTAACCCAAATCGACCTGCACGCTGAGCAGACATTTTCTGGATGGTATCATCTAGTTTGAGCAACGAGCATAAAGTCCGTGATGCAGGCACTGGTAATGCCCTGGGGCCTGCGGAAGATCGGATGACGCGTACTTGAGCTGTACAACCCGCGACTCGGACTCGGAGTCAAATCTCAATGAATTCAATGACTAGGGCCAGGAACACATCTTAGCTTCGCAATCAATTCTGTTCATTTTATGTGTGTGTATGATAGGTGGGTCATGCATGATTAATGAACATTGTGCTCGAACACTCCAAGAGCACGAGTTAGTACCGACTTTTCCAAGTGCTTCAGACTCTTGGCGTTCACTTGTGATAGATGACAATGCCACCTTATATCCTGCGAGCCTCATTTGGAGGTGGCTTCGAAGCGCACTGTTCGCATTCGAGCTACTTACTCAACGCTGCTGATTTTAAACAGCTGTCAAAATCTAAAACCATAGCAAACTAACCTCAAATATCCCGAGTCCGACGTGGCGCATGGGGAGAGACACAGCCAATGATCAACGCATGGTTAGGTTTCCTTGGCAAGTGACCAACTTGATCTTGATTCTTGATCGACTCCCATGATGTGAACGCCCATTTTAGAATTTCACCACCCAGGGCGTCTACTCGTACCAAAGGTACTCAGAGTCCAGCTAGGAAAAGGGAAACATCAAGTACGTTCGTCTTTTGATTGACAGGCAAATCGGGAGCGGCGAGCGACGCGCAAATAAGATATTCCCGGTGCATCTCGAGTAGATGCTAGATACACCTAGGAGTGTGCATAGCTATAGCATTGAACATTCACCATCGTACATCATATTTCTTCCCAATTCAGCTTGGAACGCTACTGGCAGCAACCAGCGGCACTGGATAGTCACACCGTATGTTTCACTCGACACATACGAGCCACACCGCCACCTTAGTAGGTCAGTCGCGAAACAGTTCAATACCCTAGTGAGTGATTCTTGTGGTGTGTTCAAGAATGAAACTCATGTGATCTTTCACCTTCAGCTCGAATCAGTCCATGACGGGCAGGATGTTTAGCAAATCTGACTCGGAGTTTGATCAGAACAACGACGAGAACATTCGAGGTCAATTTTGGACGATTTACGAACGGGAGGCTGGGTATCATGTCGAAGAGTTCCTTGAAAAACATAGGAGTGACATGGACATCGTTCTTATATTTGTCAGTATCCGGCAGTCACGATCTCCTGTAGGATCGCAGTTCTCACCATGATGTACAGTCAGGTCTCTTTTCTGCAGTCAGCACCACTTTCATCGTTTCTCTTCAATCTAAGCTCAGTCCGGACGAAACCAAGATGACAAACTGCCCTTGTAAAACTGCTTATCCACACAATCGACAGCACTGCATTTGATGGCCAACAGCCTGTCCTCCCACAATGGAATGGACCGGGGACGACTGAGATTTGGATACAGTGCCTCATGTACGCCAGTCTCAGTGCCAGTCTCCTTGCTGCCCTGGGTGCCGTACTGGGGAAGCAGTGGTTGGGTCACTTCATCCGCTGCGGACGTGGGCCGATCGATGTCCGCAGTCGTCTGAGGCAACAGAAGATGGATGGTCTCCAGACGTGGTACTTTAGTGCTGTCTTGGAGTCGCTTCCGCTGTTAATCCAGGCATCTCTACTTCTATTTGGAATTGCTCTAGGTGCTAGCATTTGGACGCAGCAGCCGACCATTGCAACTCCAGTGATATTGACGATCGCGTTTGGAGCGCTGTTTTACGGCGCCATAATCGTATCTTGCGTCGTTTCTCCAACTTGCCCATTCCAGTCCCCTGCATCGACGATCCTCCTGTTTGTCTTACAAAGTATCAGTCGTTCAATGCGAAGATTACACAACATGCTGGTCCACCGGTCCCCATCGCTCCTCTTTGGAATAGCCTCTGCGTTCAGGCTGCGTACTGATATTCGTAGGGGTGACGATGATGGCGACTCTGAGTTGTCGCACAAAGTTGACGCTCTTCAAGACGCGTCTGCGGTTCGCTGGATCATGGAGACAGCTACGGATCCTGATGTCATTACCTCAGCTGCGCTAATGGTTCCTGAGGTTGAATGGCCCAAATATATTGACATCTCCCTTGCGATCATGCAACTACGAGATACCTTTCTAGGTTGCTTCGAAAGCACTCAGGGCAGGCACCCCAAGCTTGGTCGTCATTCAAAGAGGCGCGCATATGCCTGTGGGAAAGCTCTGCTTCACCTATACTTCACGCGGATGGACGGGGGAGATATGCCCCAGCTGTTCTTTGACCCGTTAGAGTCGGCATCAGCGACATCGGTCACGGCGCAGCCTCCCGATATATCTTGGTTCACCTTCCTCGAGCTGCGAGATGTCGAGATGCAATTTATCTGTGACATGATACGGAGCGCCTTCCGACTTAGCTTAGGGCATCATCCTTTCGTCCCCAGGATACCCGACTCACACCTGGCATGGATGTCATTCTCAATCCCGCACTGTTTGATTCATTACAAGCAAGAAAGGCATATTCGGATGTGGGCTATCGATGCCATCACTCGTTTACTCGTCTTTCCGCTGCCTTCCAGGGCTGTGATTGTTAATTGCCTGACGGCTGCTGCGCTCATGATCGACATCCCTCTCGAGGAGGATGCTTTAGTTCGTCTTGACAGGGGGTGAGCCCTCTGCTTATAATTGATTTATCGTGTTGGCTAAGATGTACTCTACAGAGATCAACTCGAACATATCCTCTTGCGAGTTCTGCAGGGCTTGCAGGATCGGGATCTACGGGCTACGCTGGAACAGGGTATATCAGCATCCTCAAATGACCCAGAGAGTGGTTTCGAAGATGTTGATATCACGATGCTTTTCCGCCCTCTCTCGGTTCTCATCGAAGTCGTCGAGTATCGCCAGATATTCCGCGACAATAATTTACCTCTTTGGGCCCTGCAACTTTGCAGACGTATGGTGCAGAGAGCCAATATCAAATCTCCCTTGAACCCAATTGTCGCGGATCAACAGTACCAGTGTCTCAGCAGCGCCAGAGCCGCACTTCACCTCAGCATCGTTGCTGACGCGGATCTCAAGTATAGGGCTGGTGATTGCCGCGCACTGTGGAATTGCCTCAAAGCGGGCGTTGGTCATGGAAAACGCCGCAAGGAAGACTTCACATGGTTGCTTGACTTCATCGTTCACCATCGTGGTACCAAGGACCACCTTGCATTGGGCGATGCCCTCCAAGCCATGAGCAAGGTGGGCGAGGTGGAATGGCCTGAAAATTTGATGCAGACGTACTACTCGAGCATCTATTTGGCCATGGGTCCAGATATGCCTGCCCGAACACGTCACTCTGGAATGGCGGCGCTTCATGCGGTGAAGAAAAAAGTGGCTTCGGGTGGTCTGACGTCAAGCATGATGACCTGTCTCTCGCTTGCGTTGTCTTCTACTGCTGCTCTCGACATTGGTCCTCCCGTGGACGAGGAGTCTTCTCCTTCGTTGCCACTCTCTGATAGTGCGCAATCATTTGAGCGCGACCTGTGTTATCTCCACATCATATTTGCGCTCCAACAGGCGCGCAAATGGCACGAGTATCTAGTGAACGACGGGCACCTCAAGCGATGCGCTGCGATCGCCGTCACTCTTGCACATGAGAGTCGCAGTGGGCATACGCGGGTGCTACCTCACTCGAAAGCAGGACATCTCGCCCTTTATCTTGCGGCTATCCTCGCAGGTGAACACCACGATATTGCCTTTGGCACAGATGCGACTAGCGTTTCCAAGTCGATAGACACAGATGAGGTGTGTTGGATGCTCTTGCGTAAGGCTTGGGCGTATGCGTCCTCGCAACGGCTGGACGAGGGCCTCCAACATGTTATCCGCATACTCGTACAGCACACCCTGCGACATATGAAGGGAGGACAACAGACCGTGTCGCGCCCCATGGAGGCGGCGGTATCGAATGCACTGGGTGCACTGCGGTCGGCACCGAGTGTCAATGCGGATGGTGATCAGGTTAATGAATTGGCGGAGCTGTTGGGATTGGTGCAGAAGGTGGAGAGTACGAAACTTCACATCGCGAGCTGATTCTATCACACTGATGATTCCAATGCCTCCGTGTATAAGTATATGCACCATCATCTTGGTACTAGTAGTATGACATGCAACATATTCCATATCTATCTTATTCGCCGGATTCCCTGCAAGTGCACCAGTACCAAGTCCCGCAACCTCTCCGTCTGTCATGTTGTTTCAATTAAACATAAAGTTCATTTCTGCAAAATAAGATCAGAGGCACGCTGCCTCAACTACAAGTATACCTACCCTACTTGGCAGGTAAAATAACTCCTCCATGCAAGTGCTTCGGCACATGGGCCTTGAGCCACAACCGGAATACCTCATCATCGACCATTTTGGTGGGCCCGTCTGGGCCATTATGCGACCAGATCGCCACTAAGCACTTCCTTGCAATTACCCAGGTGTCTTGGTGCGATCTCGAGGGACGCAGGTCTTCGTCACAGAGCCCTGCTAACAGAAAGTCGTTCTTTTCCTTCCTGCATCCAATGGCATCCACTCCCAGCCACTGTTCAAGTGGTCTGGGTTTGCTGAGGAGCTTGCCTTCTTCGTACCGAAGACAGACCCAGGTGAGGACCCAGATGAATGACTCAGCATCATGCTGGTACAAGTGCTCGACTTGGCCTGCAATGGCTTTCTTTGTGAGAAGCTCCAGTGCCATGAATGGTACCGTTCCTGTGCGCTCGAGGCCGCTGGGACTATCGTCTTGGGTCGATGATAAGTCGTAGTCGTTGAGGACGCCGATCCAAAGATCGCCTAATTGGTATACCATGAAGTTGCTTGGGCTAGCATCGCGGTGACGGACGCCGTTCTTCCAGAGGGCGTAATGGCCTGTTGGCGTGTTTAATGGTCAATAAAGACCGCGAAGGAAAGAACACCTACAGAGTGCAATTTGCCACCATGCGCTGAGGAACTCCATCCCGCTGAGCGTCGTGATCGGGATAAGCTTTCTAAATACGATGATGTACAAGACTCGGCTGCCGCGCTCGGCGTCTTCAAGTCCCAGGGCCTTTCGGATTTTCGCTGTGGAAGTTTCTTCGAACTTGTAGGACCATAACATCTCTGGGACATGGCCTACCACCTCTGCCTCTTGTTTCGCAATGGGAAGGATCTGTGCACATTTCAAGGAGCTCCTGCAGCATTGTGTCGGCATCGGATTTCCTGAAGTTCTGGACATCTCGCCCGATCCATAGGCGGACATCATCGACTCTGCGTGAGCAGCGAAGAAGTTCATATGGGTAACGGCAGCAGGAGCAAAGGAAAAGCTAACGCACTCAACACCTAGAGTACTGATATATTCGCTAACAACAGCGGAGCCAACTGCGTGTGGAGTGGACTTGAGCTTGAGCTCGGCGGACACGGCAGAGTTACGGAGAGGTGTCTTCGATCCAGTGGCGCCAGCATTATTATTTGCCATGATGAGAGGCTATAGAAAAGAAAAGAGAACTTTTGGGGACAAGAAGACGCGAACCTAGGCTCACTTTTAAGCTAGCATGATATCATTGTTAGACATATCAAGCCATGACCCCCAATCGATAGTTGAAGGAAGTTTGATCACTGAGCGCTGAGCCACAGTCACGGTTAAGTTTGTGGCGCACGTGACAACGAAATCAAACCACATCATGATGCTACATTGCTACCTAGTGTTGCTGCGAGGCGAATCGAATCGAATCGAGGTGGAAATTTTGGGTAAATCGAGACAGTTCAACACTTACGAGTTGAAACGAAGTGTACCTCGTTTGACTCGCAATTTGGTAACGATTTCGGGAGTGACGCGGACCGATAGTCCAGCCAATGAGAAGCCATGAATTTTTACCACCCTCGCCGACGATGATTATTCACAAGTGACTACACGACGAGCAGATAGAAACTGTAATACTCTACTTGCAATCAATCTCCCTTGCATTTGCAAATAACTGGTCAAGCTCGATAAATTTCCCAGCAGCCATCAGTTCATCAATTGCTCTGGGAGTCACAGGTCCAGATATTGTGTAGTCCTGCTCGTCAGCCACTAAGTCCTCTGTAAAATTCAGGTGAAATGCCCCGAAGTGATTCGAAGGATCCGCTTGGAGTCTGAAGTGGTGATAATACTGTACCACGAGATAGTTGAGGACCAGTAAGATGAGAAAATGACCATAGGCCAGCATTCTGCTGCAATGACATGGTTCAACTGTTGTGATATTTAAGTTTTTATCGACCATTAAAATTTAAAGGTCCAGCCAGGGTCTGAATTCAAAGAGCAAGTGAGAATCTAAAAAAATCCCTCAGTGCTGGAGGGGCAGCTACAAGCCTTCTGCAACCCGCTGCCAGTCCAAAGGTTCATTCAAGATATAAGTGCTAGTGTCATATTGTCTATTCACAGGGGATTATGATGTATGGATATGATGTACACGAACTCGATTCTAAATCGCGAGTTTGACGAATTGTAACTCGATTCAGTTCTGAGTTATCGAGTTGACACGAGTTTGGTCATTTTCGAAGTGAACCGAGTTCACATCAAGTTCAACTCGCCTCGACAGCAACACTAATGCTACCATCAACATACGTGCACATATGAGCTGCCACCCGCCGCATCTGAGCCAGAGTTCACTTGAACATTTTGGCAGCACTAGGACATACCCAAATCATGTGTTGCTGCTGTTCCCTTTGCATGTATCCGGTACACTTTCTTAACGAACATTTACTATACGCCTGTCTTTTGGCCACCAGGCCAAGGGTCTTGCATTTCATTCAGGTCCACAAAGCCATGGCACATGGGCATTGGGGAATGATAAGGGTCTGATAGCTAGCTGTTAACTTCATGGCCGCCCTTTGCCTCCATTTTGATTTACAAATTTTGAACTTCCATATCGCCAACCTTTCAGATGACGAGTCACCTCTAGTCATCTCCTGAACATGCAAATGTGGAAACAATCTGATGGTCTTATCAGACGAGTCTCTGTGTGCCTCTGAACAACTGGGCTGTGCAGTCTTTCACTGTGGAATGGAAGTGGGAGAAGAGGACCCCATGTTATGATCAGCGTTCACCAAATGGTAAAGGCCTAACACAACCACTAGGACTCGTCAAGGATAAGAGCAAGAGATGTTATTGAGAGTGAACGTCTGAGTCTACACTGGGTAGGAACGAAGAGGTTAAGTCTAAGGAGTACTACTGACTACGACCTAAACTATATACTACTCTCTAGGCGGAGATATCTGAGTATGAAAGGTAGTGATATATCTATATAAGATCATAACATTGCGCCTAGGGTATAGGGCGTCTTATCAACCAATCAACTACAAGAAAGGGTCCATAGGGGTTAGGGGTATCGGGGATTAAGCAGGGTCTCAGGGTACTGCTTCTATTCAGGGTAAGCGGATATGAAGAAGGGTGTGAGAGAGTTCTGTGACAAGAAGTCTCGAGCGGTGATTAAGGATCTCGATAAGAGATAGGATCTGGAGATGTATCGGGTGCGATTGGATCTAAGGGTTTCTCCAGGGTCTTCGGTAATGAGCATGCTTCTCTATGAGTGGCGCTTCTGTGATAGGGTTTCAGGGTTCAGCTGTGACTGTGCAACAGGTTCTAATGTAAGGGGTTCGGTGAATGACAGAGGTAACTCTTAACATGCCATGTGTGGGGAGTGAAGGTCTGCGATGTGAAGGGATGATGACTCTTCGAGAGATGACTCGTAAAGGACTCTCGGTTATGGTTCGATCATAGAGGCGTGTAGATGCTTATGATGTAACCCGTTGCCTAATTGTAGGACTTTTAAGGATGTGATGAGTTCAGATGTCTAGGGTTTCAGATATAGATGGATGACATATAGATGTGATGTGAAGATAGTGATCGTTAATTGGTTATCCATCTTATCTTATCAGGGATCTTATCTAATCTAATCTTATCGGATAGGGTGACTTTTGGTTTGATAATTGAAATTTAGATGCAGTTGGTAACATTCATGACACCCCGGCTGCTCCCCTGGTAGCGCTTCAAGGAGTCTGGAAACTACTCATCCTATTGTCCTCATGGTTGCGCCTCGGAGTCCATGGCATGAATCTCATGTCCGACGGTCATGCACCAAGAGACCCTGGAACACTGATCTCAGATGTGATGCATAATGTACATCGACCAATGACATTGTTATTGTAAATGTACAGCATCAGCAAAACCCTAATTGGATATGCAGGGATGTCCCCATATGGACAGCACTGTGTAGCACTGTGTAGTGCTGTGCAATGCTGTGCAATGCTGCCTATATGGGGACTTCAAATAAGTGCTTTGCTGATGAGGCACTCAATGGTTACGAATTGACTTCGAGTAATCTACCAATTAGACTTCATGAATGACAAGCAGATCTTGCTGGATGTGATGATGTTCGATGAAGAGGTGAGGCTTGACATGTTTCTCGCACAAGGGAATCGCTATCCAAACAAGATTGAAGTCACCTTAACGGCAGGGAAGCTGCTGTATGGGTTGCTGGCTGTTCACATATACCATTTCAACTCAGTTTTGACCTGTTGGTCTGACGGTCTTCCCAAGGTCTACTGGTGGAGCAGTACCAGACTTCTTCAAACCTTTCAGGTTTGCCATCAGCTGTACAACTCGCACTTCACATGTGGGAGGAAATTCAATGGGACAAGGTGACGAACACTGAATGCGAGACTAGGTGTAAAGCACTGAGACAGCAGCATGACAGCAACAAATACCAGTAGTCCAGAATCCAAGGAGATGGGTTCTGGTGCCAAGTTCCAGCTTCAATTATACTGCACCTCAAACATGTTTTATTCATCAGGATTCAGGCCCACCACATCACCTTATCCCATTGAATTTCCTCCCACATGTGAAGTGTGAGTCATGCAGCTGATGGCGAACCTGAAAGGTTTGAAGAAGCCTGGTACTGCTCCACCAGCAGACATTGGGAAGACCATCAGACCAATGGGTCAAAACTGAGTTGAAATGGTATATGTGACCAGCTAGCAACCCATACAGCCCACACAGTGTGTCTATTTGCAGAGGCGAACGAAGGACTGCTGTCATATCCATGATCCAGACAAGTCTTCTCCACCCTCAGTTAATGTCCTCCATCCTCATTCTTAGTCCTTCACCCTCCTATATGCTCCTCTGCCTCTCAAAAATGTATCTCCAACATCAGGTACATTCCTCTGCCCCTGACTCGATCAAAGTATGAGGCACCTGTCAGTCCATTCCGAGTTTCCTTTGTACAGTCTGTTTTCCATCTAGTCTTGTACCTTGTATGATCCAATCCTCCATTCTAATTTAGCTTGTTATACACTATGGTTCATTGTCCCTTTTATTATTACTTTGTACTGTGCTGTGCTGTGCGGCATAGCCCAGATTCTCATAGTATATAAACCCTATGTATTCCGGTATTGCTTCTACAATATGAATATAGACTCAAACCTATCCTAACCACCCCCAACTCAACTTAAGTCCTGCTCATCATCTAGTCTGACTTTGAGACTTATCTCACTGACCTCTGCTTCTGTCTTCCAACAGTCCTCGCCTTACTTTCTATGTTGGACTTAGTCCCTTGTAGCCTTACCTCTGTCGGAGCATGTTGGACATAGTTCCCCACTACCAAACTTAGTTGTCCTAAATTATATTCTTGTTTGAGCCACTTCTCACAAGCTTCATGTTTTGCAGGTGAAAGAGGATATGCCTTTGCATTTGGAGGAAGATCATTGGGGTCCCTTAGGTCTATCTTATGATCCCACTTCTTGGATTTGAGGAATCAAGCAGACTCATCTTCAGAGAAGACCTTGAGATAGTCATGTAGCCATTCTGGAACCATCTCTTCTACAGACTTCTTTTCATTTTTCATTTCCTCCTGTTGAGCCAACTCTAAGGCAACAGAGCTTTTTTATCTGATCCACACATTCCTTGGTAAATCCTCATCTTTGACTTCTTCTATATCAACCTTCATCCTTGATATAATAGGATCTTCCATGGTGACTTCATTATCATTGTTTTCCATGGGTAGCAACTCAGGAATTGCAGAAGCTACAGTCTTTCACTTCCTTGCCTTGGTCTTTTTGTCTTTAACCTTGGCTTCTTGACACTTGACCAGGCAACAGTCTAGTGCAACTTTTCCTGCATCCCAGTTGATACTGGGATTATGATATCATAGCCAATCTATTCCAATGATAACATCATTGGTTCCTAGATCTGTGATCAGAAAGGCTACTTCTTCCTTGTGATCCCCTATTGTGAGTTTCAGGTTTGCATAGCTTCTGATTGGTCCAGCAGAATTTTTGTTCCATTGATATTGCAGACCAGCAGTGCTCACAACAACTGCTTGGTTTCAACTTGGTTCTTCTCTACAAACCTTTCACTAATGAAGAGGTTTGTTGCTCCACAGTCTACTAGGGCATTGATGTCTGCTTTCCTATGTTTTCCTTCCAACATAACTGGCAAATAGAAATGCTCTCATTTATTCCCAGAACAAACTTCTGATACTTCTGTAAACATGATTGCCAAATCACTAAGAATGGAGAAACAATTGTTCTGATATAAGTTTGCAGTCAACTTCAATCCTTCTAAAAACCCTTCTTCTCCAGGTTGTACATGGATGAGAGGCAGATCCTCTTGTTAATGATGCGGTTGATATCTTCTAGCATAAGCAGCTTTGCTACTGGTTTCTCTTCTTCATCCTTGACTGCTCTGATAGCTGGTCCCTTGCCCTTGGTTAAGGGTTCTCCTGTGCAGTTACAAGCCATGTGCCCATCTTTGCCACAACAATAGCATTTAAAATCACCTTCTGGTTTTGTCATATACCAGATCCAACCACTCTGTGTTATGGCTGTGCTTATCTTACTTCTTTTTCCCTTGATCCATGCTTACTACACATGTCTCTTATCATGCTATATCTAGTTCGGTATTACTCAGATGCCTCATTGCTTACGCATGTGCTTACTGATACATACCTATTATTATGTCACATCCTGTACCCTGTATACTATATAAACCCTAGCTAGGTGACACTGATTCTTCAGCTTAACCTACATGGTTTTCCTCTGAACACTCTGACTTGATTCTAAGTTACCTCTTCGGTACTTAGTCTTTATTGAACTTGGGCATTCTTTAGACAGTTGTCTAGAACATATCGACAGACCTTTGGTCTTATTGATTATTGTTTGCCTGTGTTATACTTTGGCATAACAAAAGGTTAAGCTCTATCACAAGAAGACGCTACCTTAGTAGTCGTCACGAAACATTGTGGCTTATCGAGAACCAAGACATTACTCTTCGGAGTCGGACCACAAAGAAGAACACTTCTCTGAACCAGGTTCTCCTATTCAACAGGATCACAATGAATACTTTGAAGGATACGGACCAGACCAACCAGGACCATCTGAACCACCACAACCACCTCACTCACCGACTCCACCGCCTCACATACCAACCCCTCCACCTAGAAAGATGGGCAAGATTAATTTGAACAAACCGGCCCTTTTTGATGGGTCACAGAAGCAAGCCAAGTCATAGTGGACGTCAGTCACCACTTACATTGCCATTAATGACGCTGTATACGACAACGATGCAAAATGTATTGCATTCACTATGTTGTTCATGCAGAAAGGACACGCTCAACAATGGGCCACTGCATGGCTCAATAAGAAACACCCCTCGACACATACATTAGGAAAGTGGGACAAATTCTCTAAAGAATTCAAGACCATCTTCTTTCCAAAGAACAACACTCTAACCGCAATCAACATGCTTATGAAAGCAAGACAAATGTCATCCATTTCCACATACATCACTTATTTCAAATGAATTGCGGCAGAAGCCATCTGCATTGATGCAGATGTCAAAACAACCTGTTTCAGACAAGGGTTGAAGAAGGAAGTGCAAGAAGCAATCCTTGTATGGGAGAAAATCCCTGTTGACATTAATGAATGGATCAACGCAGCAAGAGAGTACAAATCCAGAAGACAGCTCATTAACTCAGGAGACAGAAGCTACTCTAAGAAAGACGACCCATATGCAATGGACATAGACAGAGTTGACATCAACAAAGAAGAAACCACCCAAGTACACAGCACTAGACTTTCTTGGTCTGAACAAGACAGATGCTGCAAGTTGGGACTCTGCTTCAAATGTGGAAAGAAAGGACTTATGAAAGACTGTCCCAACCATAGAGACTCCGCTCCTGGCTGGCAGAAACCGGCAGGACGACCAGTCTGAGAAACCAAGATCGAACAAGACGATCAAGACGCAGAATATCAGGAATTCCTTGCTTGGAAAGCTTGGAAAGCGTCAAAGACACCTTCTTCTTCCAAGAAGGATTTCTAAATGGGGAGACCGGACCGGTGTCGGAAACCCCTAGTACTTCTATCGGACTCATTGTATCTTCTGTAGGTGATTCAAATTCCATACACATTCCTATTTCGATCGAATCCTGCAAGTCCAATAAAACTGCCGAAGCAGCTGCCCTCATTGATTTGGGCGCAGCCGGAACATTCATTGACTGGAAATATGTATGAAAGAACAATTTCTCAACTCACAATCTCTCTTCACAAATCAAAGTCCGGAATGTGGATGGAACAAAGAACAAAGCAGGAACTATTACCAAAGCCTGTAACTTGTTCTTCTCAGCAGGAGGACAAACTATGTTCGCCACCTTCCTTATTATGTCTCTAGGAGGCGAAGACATCATCCTTGGACTTCCCTGGCTCAAAAACAAAAACCCACAAATCAATTGGACTGAAAGTGAAATCTCACTAGAAGAAGATCCAATTATGATCAGCACCCTTATCGCGGACAGGGCCAAACATGCTTCTATGCAACCAAGAATAGAAGAAATTATTGATGAAGAAGCATACACCTCCTTAGAAGAAATTCTTGAGGAAGAACCCACACTCATTCCAGAAGAAGAAGACAACCCTGAAGAAATCATCAAAGAACTAGCTGATGACGAAGTTCTTATTGCCTACGTTGAGGGTGAAGACTTCATTGGTGTCTATGAGAAAACAAATTTCAACACCCCACTCACCGAAGAACACATTCCATCATCCTTCTCATTTGTCTCTCGAATAAATAGAATTTCAAAGGTCCTGAACTCTGCTAGATTCATATTTTCCCCGACTCCCATCTGCAAAGCAGCAAATGTAGCTCAACAACTTGCTCAAGAAGCTTATGCAAAAGAGAAACTGAAAACCTTCAAAGAGATAGTACCCGAGGTCTTCCATATGTATAAAGACATATTCGACAAAGCAGCAATGGATAATCTTCCCCCCTCTCAACCGTTTGATCACAAAATAAAACTCAAGCCAGACTTTGAACCACAGTCATGCAAAATTTACCCATTGTCTGCACCGGAAGAAAAGGCTATGAACGAATTTGTCGACGAACACCTGGCAAAAGGAACTATTATACCATCGCAATCCCCACAAGCTTCCCCATTCTTCTTTGTTGGAAAGAAAGACGGATCCCTTCGACCATGTCAAGACTATTGTAAACTCAACGATGCAACCGTGAAAGATGCCTATCCTCTTCCCCGTATTCCCGACCTCATAGACAAGTTAAAAGGCACTACTATCTTCACAAAGATGGATGTCCGTGCAGGATACAACAATGTTTGCATCCATGGACCAGATAGATGGAAAGCAGCATTCAAAATGTCAAGAGGACTCTTTGAACCTACCGTCATGTTCTTTGGTCTCTGCAACGCCCCTGCAACCTTCCAAGCTATGATAAACAACATCTTTTCCGACATGATCAACAAAGGGTGGATGGTCATATATATGGATGACATTCTTATCTTCTCTAACGACATTGAATCCCACCATAAACAAACTAATCGAGTTCTACAACATTTATGTGACCACCAACTTTCCCTCAAACCCAAAAAATGTGTCTTTGACTCCGACAAAGTCGAATATCTTGGACTCCTTATTTGCCCTGGCCAAATCTGCATGGACAAAGTC